GTGGAGGTCTCCCATCGGTGCGCATCGCCCGTCACCACGCGCGTCCTCACCTGACCATCGATCTCTTTCTCACAGCAATGGCTCGACAGCCCAGAGGGGCGCGCGATGGCCGAGGGGCGCTCGCTGTCCCCGCAGAACAACTCGGATCTCTCCTCCTCTGGCGGGTCTCCGCCCCTGGCTCCCAGCATGCCGCCTGTCACGCCCGGTACCCCCAACCAGGGCGCGGACGACGAGATCATTCCCACCGCGATCGTCATCAAGAACATCCCGTTCAACGTGAAGCGCGAGACGCTCCTCGAGATCATCGTACGTACACAGTGCTTCTCGTGTATGCACATCGCGCGATCTCAGTACCACGCTTCTCATCTAGGCATCGCTGTCAATCCCGACGCCGTACGCGTTCAATTACCACCTCGACCAGTCAGGCCAGTTCCGCGGGTTGGCATTTGCCAACTTCCGCCAGGCGGCAGATGCAGACGCCGTTGTGGCGGCACTGAATGGTTTTGACGTGCAGGGGCGCAAGCTGCGAGTGGAGTACAAGAAGGTTCTGCAGGCCGGCGAAAAGGAGCGCATCGAGCGCGAAAAGGCCATTCGACGCATGAAGTCCATGCAACTCGAAAAAGAGCAGGCCGCGATGGCGCAACAGCAACAGGTACAGACTCCCTACGAGGACTACGGCTCGTTGATATCGTCTCCATTCTCGCCGCAACGATCATTCTCGGCGTCAAGCGTGTACCAGAACCAGCAATCGTTCTCTCCGTCGCAGATGGCCTCGATGCCGACGCCTCAGCCATTCACGGTCACGACGCCGCCTCTGCCCCCCGTGACGCCCGGGGCCCTGAAATCGCCTTCGGCGGAGCTTGATTTGAATGATCCGTCAACACTCGAGATCTATTCGCGCATCCTCCTGTTCAAGGACGATCGCATGAGGGACGAGCTTGCCTTCTCGAGGACATTGACGCCCAAGCAGCGTCGCGTTGTGCACCTCGTGGCACAGAAGCTCGGCGTCTACCACTACTCCGTCGGCGAGGGAGAGGACAGGTATGCGGTTGTTACGCGCATCGACCCCAACGCGGTACGTCTCCCCACGCCAGCTGATGCACCGTGCAACTCACATATTCTCAGCAACAGGCGCCACGGCACACGCTCTCGCGCGCAACGTCGTCCTACCTGAACGTGAGCAGCCCTCAGGCACCCGCTTCACTGCGTGTGAAGAAGTCGATGCCGGACATGAAGTCGCTGCAGGCGGCCGCGCCGCGCCTGACGAGTCGTGCATCGAACGGGAACATCCGCGAGGGCTATGCGACGATCGCTTCCCCGTCGCGCCGTTCGCCCGGCGCGTTCGCATCACTTTTCGGGAATGGCGGTGCATTTGCCGGGAGCACCATCCCGCCCGTGCCGAGCCTGCCCTCAAGTGTAGTCGGGAATGGCGGCGGGGGATTGGACAGTCCCAACTCTGCCGGCGTGGTCAGGCAGCCGCGCGGGCCAGGCAACGGGGGTTTCGAATCTAGGAGGGAGCGGCGCGAGAGCCAGACGCGGGGCGGATTCGACCCGCGCTCGCACGAGCCGCTTGAGATTTAAAGCGATGATAAGTGTGCATCCATCATACTATCTCTGCTACGCTATGCGGCGTCGCAGGAAGGACTGTCATCCATCGGTATCGATTACTGCAGCACACTCGACACTCTCGTTTTCGCGTGTTGGCCTCTTGACTCGTCTATTATTCGCTCTCATCTTCCCCCGCTGGCCAGACACATAATCTTCTTTGTAGGTATCTTCGATAGTAGGAAATGGGCTCCTCGAAAGGCCTGCGCCCCCCTGCTGCCCGTCCGATTTAAGTTACTCATGCCCCATGTCATGGTCGTTGTTCATGTGTTATGCTTGTTTCCATTCTGCATTACAGTACCCTTGGTTGTATGATGATCACAGAATTAGAATTAGCTGAAAACCCTGTATATATTTCCTGGAGGTCATTGATTGTCATTGGATGGTACGTTTCACCGCCTTGGTCACCCGTATACCGCCAATGATGCATCCGTCCGTCATCCCAAGTAATTGAAGGTTATTATGCGAACAAGGCTGCTGAAATTCTGAGTATAGCGGCTATCAATCTATAATGCCATGTCCGTGACCGGTCTTAGTCTGTTGGGCCGGAATCCAGCTGCCGGATAATAGAGGCAGAAGCCACAAAACATATGGGCAACCCGAAACACAGCCTTTGAGTACAGGTATTAGATATCAAATCGGCAGCATCCTCGTGAGTCGCTGTTATCAGTGCTCAACTTGCTCTGTCATGACGCAGATTCCGAATGGCCTCCTAAGGCGGCCTGGGAGGCGACGCCTCTGAGCCGAGGCCTAGTGTTGCAGAACCAGGAGTGTGCGAGGAAGAATTGGATGTGGGTGGAATAAGCCGAAGTCGTGGGTGAGGTTTTTACGCCTGAGATGAATCTTCGACGTACTCGCGCACCTCATACATTGTATTGAATGACCGCATAATTTCTGTCGGAATCTCCAGTAATTCTTGTCCATGGTCCGAGAGGTACCTCCAGTCACTAAGAACAGCTTGAAGACGATCCAGTGATGTGCAGACATAAGCCTTCTCAGCGCGCCGTGCAATCTGAGAGTTGCGCATGAAGTAGTTTGATTCCCTGTCGATGTGTTCGCCTCGCTCATCGCCTCGAACATCGATCCACTTCCGGTCACGCCAGTACGTCAGCATCTCTACGAGAGATTCCTTCACGTGAGGTTCCAGAACTCGATGAGTGTCGTCAGAACAAATTGTCGGAGGCTTAGTTGTTTCCAGACTAGCAAGATGTTGAGCCCACTGCGCGTTAGCGGCAAGATCCGCATCAGTCTCTGGTAAAGGGTCATGAAGAGAACAGCAAGCTGGTCGGAGCGTGAAGTCTTCGTTGTTGATATCGAGATCAACTTGTCTCGGACACATGTCAAGTGTCGCGTTGTGCCACTTGAGCATGGGTCGCTCCAGCTTCGCACGCCGCTCCGCATCTTCTTTTGCCTGTTCGGTAATGATCATGTTTTCGGGAATCTCTCCGACCCAGGGAGGTGCGAATGTATATGCGACCGGCATGACAAAGGCGCTGTTTCATGCAGTCAAAGCTCGGTGAGAGACCAGCGATGACGACGTGGGGAATAACATGTTTGTCGAAGCCGTACGTCACAGGCTCAGTGCAGACACCGATGCGCAACGAGCCTGACTCCATTTCACGAAGGAACTGTTGTTGGTAGCCGTCCGACATGATGATAGAACTGTAAAGCATGACAAGATGACCTCAATTTGGCACGGAGGAAGGGATGAGACGACCAAGGAAGTTCATGAGGAGCCAGCCGTCATGGATATCATTGACAAAGACCAGAGTTCCCGGGATTTCATGGGCAGACTTCATGCCGAAAGGAATTAAGAATGCGAGCTCGAGAAACTCAGAGCCAGAAAATGGGTACATGAAGAAGCGAGTGATGTATTTGATATGCGGGCAGTCAATGGAGCGACGAGCATTCACGTACTGCCCTTGCCGAAAGCCAAGATCTCCTGCAATCTTGAGAGCATGACTGGAAGTTGTCGTACTGGTCGCAGCAACCCAGATTGTAGTAGAATTCAGCTGCGCATGCATCGTCTTTAGAATATCATAGCTCTTGTGCCAGATAGGGTTCTCGTCGCCGAGCTAGTGAGCCTCATCAATCATGAACCAGCGGATCAGGTCTTTGAAGCCAGATATCCGCAGGAGCTTTATCATGCACTCTCCAGCAAGCATTTGAGGACTCATGAAATCGATGCGAATGTCCTCGCCGTCCTGCAGCTCGTCGAAGAGATCGCGTTTGTCATAGTACGCGTCGCGGATGGTATCCTTGTTCAGCGCGATCGCGCGCAGCCCAACTCGACGGGCACTCTCGCTCTAGTAACTCAAGCCACGTATAGCTCTTTATTTCTGTGCGTGAATCCAGCAGAGATATCGTACCTTCTGTATAGAAAGTAGCTTGGTAGGGACAATGTATGTTGCAATGCCCCGCTCGCCAAGTGCTTGAGCTGCGAGTAGAGGGGCCCAGAATACCGTCGTCTTGTCCTGACCTGATAAAACAACTAGGAAGACATCACGCCCTTTGGTGATGTCTAGTCCGTGTGTGATCTGGAACTCTCGAGGTTGGGAGATCCCGCACTTTCGAGAGACTAGCTCAGCAAGCCATTCAGCATTGATTTGAGGGTCGCCGAGAGAAGACTGAGCAAGTTCTGACATATTCATTACGTTCGACAGGATTTTGACAGTATGAATGCGCGAACGAAGGTGCTAGCGTCGAGCGACACGAGGAGTATGCAGAAAGACACGCTCAGCCTGAGGCGCGTCCTCTGGTCGCGTGGTCGCGTTGTGGCGTGCCGTCTGCATGTGTAACCCGCATCGCTCAGCGGCTTGTCCTTCCCAAGATGCCGGGCGCATCTATCGTGCATGCCGCGTTCTTTGCAGTCGGCGCACTCGTCGGCGGCGGTGTCGCGGCCGCAGTGAGCGCGAATAGGCGACAAACGACCGTGCCCGTCCAAACCATACAACCGCATCCTTCGCAGCCCATCGTGGACGTCAAGGAGGGCGGCGGAGCGCAGATTTCTCCAGCTTCTGCTGCGTCAGTCGTCTTACCGCCTGTGCTGAGGCACGGCAACCCTGGTGAGTGGCAGAGTCTATGCTTCTGGGAGTTGCCTCGTGTTGAAAGGATAATACGCAGGGCCCGTATCTGATCAGCTTGTACGCCTGGCGTACGTCGCTGGATACGACCGACGTCTTCGGCATCCTGCCTGGGTGAGTGTACAGCCCGCGCATACACATCCGCTTCTAACAATAAGATGACGTATCGATCCTGCTCGTTGCTCAGACGGCAGAGCACTTGACCCTCGCATCGTTACGCAAGTCACCTCTGGGATCTGCACCACAGGCAGCCGGTGACCGCTCTCAGTCGGCGTTCACGGAGGACATGACCATCCCCGCCCTGTTCCGCGCGAAGCTTCAGGACTACTTCCGGAGCGGGTACGACCGGGGACATATGTGCGTCGTGCTGATATCCTTGCGCTGTACGAAGTATTAATCCGCACACTGCAGGGTTCCTGCTGCTGATGCGAAGATCTCGCAAGTAGGTGATTAAGCAGCGAACGTTTCTGGCTTCACACTCATCAGCACACGCTAGACCGCAATGGACGAGACGTTTCTCTTGACTAATATCGCTCCTCAAGTCGGCGTCGGATTCAATAGGCATTGTATGTCATCAAACTCGCCTACGCCTTGGAGATTGTCTCATTTTGATTTTTGTCTCTTAGACTGGGCATATCTGGAGGACTGGTGCCGCCGCTTGACGTCCTCGTTCGCGGACGTGTATGTCTTCACCATTCCTCTCTACCTGCCTAAACTCGACTCGGACGGCAAATGGCGTGTGGTGCGTACCGATTACACCCTCATTTCACCGCCAGAACTGAGAACATTTTTCTCAGACTCACGAAGTCATCGGCTCCCCGCCGAACGTCTCCGTGCCGACACACTTTGCTAAGGTCGTCCTGACCTCGCGACCGTCGTCTCCCTCTACGCCGGACGTACATGAGATCTCGACCGGCGCGTTCGTGCTCCCAAACGCGCCTATCCCAGACGAAGCGAAGCTTGAAAGTTTTGTCATGCCCGGTAAGTCACCGCTCCACATCTGTACGAATAGGCGTGCTGACATGTGAGATCCCCAGTTGAGGCGGTGGAGCACGCTGCGGGTCTTACGCTCTTTTCAGACGCGATCAAGCAGAGCTCGAAGCACATCTGCAGGACGACAAAATGCGAGGTGATCGTCAGGCGATTTGACGATGCGCAAAAACGCCCGGAGATGCGGAGGGCGATATCCTCACCGCGGTAGCACTGGCGAGGGGTGCCAGAGGGATCTAGGGTGATTTCAGTGCAATAGACCGATCTTACCGACCTTGGGTCGTGACTCATTCTGCAGTAGCCAGCAGCTGCGTTTAAAACATCCAGCAACAACCCATATAGTGAGGATCGATGAGTACATCAAAAGTCGGAAAGCATGTCTCTGATGCCGGACCAGTAGTCTTGATCCACCCGAGGCTCGATCTCCTCTTTTGTGAGCCAGGCAAAGTTCAAGACGTTTTTACCATTCGGGATCGCCTGACCTGCAAGAATGTGTGCCTTGTAGAAAAACACATATGTCTGACGGAGATGAGAGGCGCGTGGAAGTGAGAGGGGAGGTCAACTCACTTGAGATGGTGAAGAGGTATTAGAGGGCTGGTAGACGCCTATTGGATTCTGGCTGACGACCCAGGTGTCCATGTTGGGACCACACTCGTCGTGGAGCTCTCTCGATGCAGCCTGAAAGGTCCGGGATGTTTGTGTTTGAGCGGCATGACTGAAGGTAGTCTAGATGCACACCTCATGTAGCAGCTCGCCTACCAGAAGCTCCCCTTGCGGGAACCTCCACACCGTCTTGCCTGCAGCATTCTGGCCCTGCAGGAGAAGGTAGATATTGCGCTCGCCTTTCCTGTCGAGGCTTTGCACATCGCCCTTGATATCCGCCTCATGTGTCCTCGGCATAGGCCTCTCCTCCTTCGAGTCCTTGATCACCGTCTCCGAGAATGCGGGCGCCGCCTCCAGGTCCGCCTCCGCACTTGAATCCTTCAGCTGGGCAGAGTGGGTGCTGCCAAAGGCCACGCGCTCGCGCTCCTTCTCCTCCAGCGCGAAGCGATCCTCGAGGAGGGAACCTTTCTTGAAGTAAAACTCGTCCGGGAAGGGGTTGAACAGGGCACGTCGAATGCGTGCATGGTAGGCGTAGTACGCGCGCTCGAAGTTGGAGGGCGTGCGTGTGATGAGTGGCGAGCGATTCAGGATGACGGCAGCGTTGATGATTGGCGAGGGGTCATTTTGGGAGGAGGAGGAGGTTGAGGAAGAGCTGGGGGCATCGGCTACCGTCGCGAAGGTGCGAGGGCGGACATGTGCGCAGCGTACTAGTGCGGCGACAAAAGTGTTGATAAGCTGAATACAAGTCAGACGTTGATGCGCACCTCTTGAATGTCTTCCACACGAAGACCAGGCATTGCGAGCCCACATGCCAGTTGCGTTCGTCGACGTCGTCGCTGTGCGTCGAAAAGGCACGAAATATACATATGGCACGTGATTAAGTCCCAGAACGCATAGGCGCCCATCGAGTGATTCGAGTACTAGTCTTTAGCTTGAACGCGCAGGCCATCAACACATTCCACACCGTGCACCGTACCATCCATGCCGATACCCCTCGTCTCCAATGCATATCTCGACGAGACGTCCGCGAAGATCCGTGCGAAGCCTGTGCCATGGGAGGTGACCAGCGCGTCGACCGTTGCGCAGATGCATAGACTCATACGGCACGTTGGCTTTGTAGGCCTACCAGCGCGCAGACCTGATCACGAGCGATGAGCTGGCGATGATCAAGAAGGTAGACAGGCAGCCGAAGGCAAAGATCGAGTCCCTTCTCCTTTCCGACGGCCAGGCGTACGCGCTGCTGTATCTCCGCCTGCTCAAGAAGCTGCAACGGGTGGATACGCAGCAATGTATCTTGGTGCTCATTATGGATGCTCTAGCTGGTATGTCCTATCCATTTCAACTTACGCGAATGAATGCAGAGCTTTGCAGACCATGAGGAACGCGTGCCATTGTTCACCAGGGCTCAGAATACAGACCCTGAGCTGCCATATGGTCCATTATCCCGGTAGGATTTGTAACATGGAGGATATGTTCCAGAAGGGCTCAAAATCCATCACAGAATGCTTGAGTCCCAAGACGACTTTGTTCAGCTCAAAGCGACCCAAATTATGACAGTCCTTCTGAGGTAGTATCTCAACGTGCCCATGTTATCCATGTGGATCTCATTCAGTGTGATAGTTCCGAGCCCTCAACACTACGCCCGCAGCAATTCCATCCGTTCCTCAATACTCTTGCCGCATTCATTGTCGGAAAGACCCCGAACAAGCAAGACGTCGCCGTTCAGTGTCTCGAAGCCATCCTCCCTCGACCCGAGTGCCGCAAGGCTGTTTGGTCTAACGCTCCACTCATGACTGGGTCAGTTTCATATGTTGACTTTCTAACGAAAGCTCTCACTCACAAGGCACAAAGGCTAGTCGACATCCTCAAACGCAATTCCAGCGCACAAATGACCTACCAGGTCGGCTTCTGCATCTGGCTGCTCACCTTTGACCAGGAGGTCGCGGAGCAGATCAACAAGTGCGTGGTGTCTTGTATAACCCTAACCTCGGAGAGAGGCTGGAACTGACGTGCTGCTAGGAAGTACGATGTAATACCCATTCTCACTAACGTTGCGCAGAATGCGGTGAAGGAGAAGGTCATTCGCGTTATCGTTGCCACTTTCCGAGTTGAGTACCACTGATTATATAGGATATGACGTCGGTGCTTACCCGTCCTCGTAGAACCTGGTCTCGAAGGCACCCTCCGCCAACCTCCCTGCGATGCTTGTCTCTCAACTCCTACCGTTCGCGAAGAATTTGTGTACACGGAAATGGACCGATGAGGATATCATCGAAGACGCGCAGTACCTCCGTGACGAGCTTAATGCGCGATTCGAGAGCCTGACGTGAGTCCGTTCTTCCGTGATAGCCTGCTGGCCGTTATGATATGGCAGTGCAGCTCATTGTGATCGTCCAGGACGTACGATGAATATAGCTCAGAGCTGATCTCGGGCCACCTATCGTGGACGCCCGTACACGAGTCTGAACTATTCTGGAAAGAAAATGCAGTCAAATTGAATGATAATGACTACGCACAAGTGAAGTGGGTACTCCGTGATTTTGCAGCGATGTTCCGATTTAACCGCTATCAATTTCTTTAGAACACTAATAAGGTTCCTGAATGAGTCAAGCGACCCCATTGTGCTGGCGGTTGCCTCACACGACATCGGTCAGTATGTCAAGCATTGCGAACGAGGGAAGAAGTAAGTCTTGTATATTTTCAAAGAAATTGCTCGACCGTACAAACGTTTACGCTGAACGCTGCGTCGATCCCAGGATTGTCACGGATCTGGGTGGGAAGACGCGCATGATGGAACTCATGTCGCACGATAATTCCGATGTACGATATCAGGCATTGGTCACCGTACAACATCTAGTTAGCCACCCGTGGGCTGCTGTCTAATGGTGACGACGATGTGTATTACACAAATATTCTGGACTGTTTCATTGGACACTATTGGGTCGTATGACGGCGACTAACGGCTCTCCTGATCCCCTGATGTGCACAACACCATAAAGCGAAGGTACTTGGTCCAGGACAGTCTCGGACTAAAGTTACAGCACTCAGCGCACATTTCTTGCAAGTCATTTTGATGGCGTAATAGGAGGGAGCATAGGTTGTACGTCAAATTTTGCCGACATGTGGATCCACGTCGGGTAATCCCCATATTCACCCTACAGCGAATTTAAATCACGAACGAGTCGTTGGAACCGAGCACTTACAAGCGCATCATGCGGGTAGCCTTTCTTGAATGGCAGAACACCCTCAAGATACGACATCTGCTCCGGCGTAAGGCTGATCTCTAGAGCCTCGAGATTTGCGTGTAGGTGCTCGACCTTGCGGCCGCCGACAATCGGGAACATGAATGGTGCTTTATGCATTACGTAGGCGATCGCGACTGTAGGAGCAGCGTCAACGATATTTATAGAAAAGGAAGATAGCTGTGACTCACTGGCGGTAATGTTCTTCGCGCCCACTTGCTTTGCGATGGCCTCGAGTGCATCGCACATTTTCTTCTCGTCAGGAGACCGCTCCCAGCTCTCGTTCCTCACCCTGCCTTTCTCTCCGGTCCGGCGCCGCCTTTCTTCCTCCTCGTCAGACCTGATGTGGCCTCCTTCGAGGATGTTAAATAGAGTGAGGGCTATGCCTGCGGCGAATTCAGCATCTATGTCAGCTTACTCCGAAGCCTTCGGCTGACCTTCGTGCCGGCACATGGGGAGTATGTCGCTCTCGATATCGCGCTTCAAGAGGGAGTACTTTGCTTGGTAGACCACGAACGGGGTCTTGCCGTTGGCCTTTGCGTATTCGTTTGCCTTCACGACCAGCCATGCGGGTGCGTCTGAGATTCCCTGGAAGTGACTCTCCTGTGAGATTCCGGAGATGCCACGGGATGGAGTGAGCGACGCGCACCAGATAGAGCACTTTTCCCTGCTGGACAAGGACATGTAGGCCATCCATGAACTCTTCGACGGAGGTGTGCAGATCCCAGAAGTGTACGTAGAAGAGGTCGATATAGGTCGTCCTCAGCCTCCTGAGGCTTTCTTCGAGACCGAGCTTCATAGACTTGATATTGTTGCCCACATAGTTTGCTCTTTGCTTGACGGAGGAATCGCCGCGCTTGGTGTCACCCGTGTACTGGTGCCATGGTCAGTGGTTTGCTGATAACGGCTACTTCGCACTCTCACTTTGGTACAGATTACGAGCTGATCGCGTATACCTCGCAACTCGACCCATTCGCCTATCCACAACTCTGAGGATCCGTCCTGACTACAAGCATTGAGCACCACGATATCACTGATGTATCACGACGGCCATCCTTACTAGAAGTTCGCAGTATCAATGAAGTTGCCTCCCGCGTCATAAAAGGCATCCAGCAGCTTAAACGACATATCCTTGTTCATCTCGCCAAACCTCTGGCCAGACTTTGCCCACTTGTCTCCGATGCTCGCGCCGCCGAGCGCGAACGGCGAAACGTGTATCGCAGCGCGAGGCGCGAGCTGGCGGTAGTGGCCGAGTCTCGTCGCAGGAGGGAGCACAGATTGGTCGAGGGCTGACATGATGACACGGCGGTGGATATGGATACGGCTATGGCTTGCACCTCCCACTGGCGACGTTGGGTCCTGTTATATATAACAGAAATGCCGCTACTCACATGACATGCGCAGTTACAGAAGGAAGCATTTCTTGTGCGTAACTTGTCGTACGTCATGCCGTAGGGACGCCTCAGCATCCGGCTGCTCATATGTCCGGCCGCTGCCTGGCCGCACCCGCCGGCGTTGAGGACACTGATCTGGGATGTGTCATGGCTCATCGAGAAATACCCCACGAGGGACCATCTAGACCTAAGCAGTACAGAGTAATCCAGTCATCTCTGCCGGTGTGAGAACGTCAGTCCATGGGATGCGGTCTTATGCAATGTAGACCACTGACACGTACGTACTACACTCGTGGGTGAAGACAGCAGCCTCTCGCGATGTCCGGGTAGAGCCTGTAGGCTTTCTCGGAAGGTGCGACATATGCTCCAGCGAAAGAGTAACGTCTAGAACCTCAGGCCCGCGTATTGGTGTTCGATCTTGCTGCTTTCAATGATTGGAAACATGATCGGCACGTTTCGATAAGTACATGTAGCAGATCATATGGACCCAGAAGCCTTGACCTCAAAAGTCGATTGTGTCTCGATTAGAACATGTGCTTGCAGCATACCGTCGTGACATCGACAAGTTGCACGCGATTTCCCTCACGATTGCAAACGATAGCATTGGATGTGAGTGTAGCTATGAAACATGAGGAAGGGAGGCTCTGCGAGACGCATGGAGGGTAAACATTGCTAGAAATGGGAATCCGTGGCTGGCGTGTATCACTTCTTGCCAGACCTATATTCTGTTAGCCACCAAGTGATTTACACCAATGATTGCCACGTACTTCTTGATACCTCCACCAGGTGCGCCTCCTGCTCAGAGACGGTGGTAAGTGTGAGTGTCATCGGCAGCAAACCATTGCCGACAAGCTTACCCTTAGCAGCTGTCCAAGATGTCAACACAGTGCATAGCTTAAACAAGGACGTCACGTACCTTTATCCTTAGCAGCCTTCAAAGCAGCCTCCTCTTGCTTCTTCCTCTCCTTGAAGGCCAGATCATCCTCATCAAGCTCTTTCTTGTCCTTCTTTGGAGCCTGACGTGCCCCGCGACGACATCAACACCACAGATTTCACTTGCCGTGCACTTATGCTCACCTTGAGAGGCTTTGCCTTGCCGCCTTGTCTGGTAGCCATGAACGTTGGATCGAAGATTGAATTTGACGAAAGGGTTGAGGCGGATCTCGATCTTCCCCACGTCAGTCACGTTTCGGTTTTCCCACATCCATCCCGCCACAATGCTGTCTACCCTGCCGCTCCATGTCGTCGACGTCGCTCGAAGTAACACCCGAAGACGAGGTGTCGACCACATCTACCAATTTGCGAGCCACTTCTGCCTCAATACCATATAAACGTTCGAGCGATGGTGTTTCCGGATCGTCTAGAAAGCGCTCAAAGACTCACGACTCGTATCTCATGGAGGCTGTAATTGCAGCAGAAGAAGTGAGGAAGATATTGCCTAAGGCTGCGAAAGCAATGGAGGTTATCAAAAAAGAGCTCTTGTTCCCGAAGTCAGACGGCACAAAGATTTCTTACCCTCCTGGGCCCAAGATACGCATCCGCGTCGATGTCCCAGCTCACGGGGGACAGCCATCAACGCGCCTGGTCATCCCAATTCCACGCATATGGACGGTGGGCCAGCTTATCAACGAGATTGCACACCTGAGGCACATGATCGAAGAGACGTTCTCCCTTCATCTCTCTGACGGGTCTCAGCTCTCTCCTGAATATCTCATGGAGGACTTCATCGACATTGCGGGAGTCTTGCACGTGAAAAACAAACTTCAAGAGAAATCGCTGGCAAAGAATCAAAATGTCTTGTTGTTATGGCAGCGAGCAGTGGACCTGGCTCTCGAGCGGAAGATGGACTGGAACGAGGCACAGCGTCGGTTCCTCGATGCCCGTCTGAATACACCGGATAACATTGGAGAAGAAAAGGGTGAGTATTTCCCCTCCTTTACCTGGCTCAAACTTAACCCAGGCGTAGAGATGCTGTTTAGCAGTTACAACATTCGGTATGCTGAATTCAGCGATTTATACAAAAAAGCCTTGGACGCTCTCTCATCGCCTTCCGAGTTCGCGAAGCCGTCGGTGTGGCCAAATGAACAACGCAGGAAATCCCGTCTGCTGTGTCTTCGCCCGGCGGGCGCCAAGGGGCTTCCGTTGTGCACACTGCACGATATCTTCCGCCGGTTCGTGCTCGCGATCAAAGAACCATTCCCTGAACTGTCTGTTCCCGCTATCTGTGCTGCCGCATCGTTGTGCGACCAGATGGGAGAGCCGTATCAAAGTGAGAAGGACCGTTTATCGGCATTGGATGATTGTATTTCCGAGCTATTCGAAAAGGAATATCAACTGAAACCACGTTCGGAAGCACTTGGTGGGTTGGTGGATCGTGTGATGCTGTGGCAGGGATGTCTACCAATCTGCTTGCGCGAGGACAAGCTGGAATCAGGTTCAGGGAATTGCGATGTGTATATGCAAATAGCACGCGATTATGACCTCGCGATCAAAAAGTTACGCGACAAGCCGGACGAGTCTGTGTTGAGATTCCTGCAGCTGGGCGCACCAATGTTCCTGGTGTGCATGTTAGGTGTGTGTGTCTCGGATGAATGTTCACATCCATGCACAGGCATCTCACGATCGACTGACAGGACCTCTGCTTTTCGTACTGGGAGGCTTCTACGATGGTCAGAGTGTAGTCGTAGAACCACTCAGTGATCCGCTCTTCATGTTAAAGGACACTACAAACTCACGACAGCGGAACCTTGCCAATTTGCTTGACGCACTATGCAAAAGCATGTCCCAACTCAGAAAGTACGTGCCACGCATTAGCTTTATCGTGTTGTCATCCCCATTTTTTGGCAGTTTGCTGAGGCAAATGGTGTCACCTACCATATACCCTGCCTCAACTCCTCGGATCTATGGATCGTGCGTGTTGTATGCCACGTTAGAAGGCGTCACCGAGGGCAGCCTCACGTTCCAACGTCAGCTTTCCTTTGAACATCACAAACACTCGTTCTTTGCTGCCACGTTGTCTTTACCGGAGCGTTCCAAGATTCAGGTTCTCGTGAAATTGGTGAACGAACCCTATGGAGAAGATGTCCACCGTCTGTTGGCGTCCCACGATCTTGCACCTACCCTTTACGGCTGTGCACGTCGTGAAGGAGCGCCCACCGCGTATGTTATGGAGCATCTTTCTCCTTCCTGGGTGACGCTGTTCAAATTTTCCCACCACGAAATCGCTGGCTCGCTTGGAGAAGCCGTCCGGCGCTCCTTGGACCATTTACTCAAGCTTTTGGAGGACAACAGCGTTGTGCATGGTGACCTAAGGTCAAACAATATCATGTTACAAGTCGACGACCAAGGCAAGCCAGTTGTACTGTTGAATGGTTCGGCGAAGATCAACGTGATCGATTATGATTGGTCTGGGACCGCTGGGCGGGCGCGCTATCCCGCGCTGCGCAACCCGACGATCAAAGACATCACCTGGCCTGGTGAGCCTGGTGGTATTATTGAGTCTGAGCATGATCGCAAGCTGGTTGACTCGTGGTGGCATCGTTGGCTGAGACATGGCTCGAATTGATCCTGGAACCCCCTCCCTCCCCCAATGCAGTCGTCGGTGACTGCGTTCCTGTGCAGAACATTTACAGCGTAGCATTTCCTTTTATCGATCCTCGTATGCGACTCTGCCATCCGATATGTCAACAGAGTGAAGTGATTAAGGGATCGCTTCTTATCTACCTCTGATTCTGGCCTCTCTCTCGCGCTACGCAGATGGCAGAATAAGAAGCTGTGAAGCTTGACTGCATTTTTGGTCAAAGCGCCGTTGTAATCACGAAACCAAGAGAAGAGGAAGGCACTCGCAAGAAGCTCCGTTCTCAGCGCACTGTGCGATTGACACTCGCCACTCGGCTCGGGTTGATGCCGCGTGCGTTGAATTCTCCACACTTGCGATTGCGATAGTACTGACTCGTCCCCCCTTTTATGAACAATGAAGCAAATCATAATTAAACTGTCCCTCGGAACAGCCACCACGGAATGAAAGTCGGAGGGTGGTACTCCGGACGCCGGTAGCGCGACAGTTATCTCGTTCGCAGATGCCCCCCACCGTGCACCACGGAGACGGCCTAGTGGGTATCGAAGAAGAAGGGAACAGAAGGTGTGGTAGGTCCGCATAGGTGAAGGACTATTCTCTCTCTGTTCTGGCACACTCACGTATGCCCATGTCTTTCATTAGCATAGCTATATGCACACATTGGCAGAGACGTCGTTGTGGCGGCTGATATGCGTTGGCCTGCCTTATGCACTAACTTGTGAGCCACTGCCTCTTACGGGTGCAGAAATAATCCAAATGTTGGCAAGGTAGCTTCAATGAATCCCTGAATGGCACCAGCTTTTTATCGGTGAGAATTTTTGAGCCACTGTGACGTGACGGACTTTATTTACACCCGCTTTACCGGGAAACCTGAACTACCAGGCTGTATACCTGCCAGACATTCTGCTGTGTCCGCTCGGCTCATCCCTGTGGCGCAGCCACCACCGCGAGTAGAACGCTTGGCCGGACCTTCATCTTGGCTGGATTATTGCTGTCACATGCACTATATGTATTCGCCGAATTTGTGCTCCGCGAGCCGAGCCTCATCCCGCGTCACACCACAATTTGGCAGTCAACTCTACAGATAAATCTACTCTCGTGTTCTTCGTCGGAGTCGCCCAAATAATCTGCCTGCCTACTACATATCTTCCGCTTCGCAGGCCCACAATACATGCTTCAGCGTACGGCAGATGGATCGTATGGATGGGCATGCCACCCTAATTGCTTCGGACGTACAACCTCGTCGCGAGCGACATCAATACCTCTCTCCTCATCCTCATCCGGCTCGCATGGATGCCGGACCCACTAGCAGGTTCAAACTCTTCCATTGCGTTCCCGTAACTTTCAGTAGTCCTTGACACTTGCGACACGTGATGTGACACCGTGAAGATCGAGTTGCGACGTCCATGCCAGTTGAGCTCGATTCCAACATGCCGCGGCGCATGGTCGGCTCTCAGCCTCATCTGCTGCAATTCCCTTCCTTCTTCGGGTCATAATTGTTGTCTCCAGGATCTCGGCCGGTCACGAATCGCCGTACAAGATCAAGTCAGCCCGCGGTTTCTGAAGTAACACCATTTTCTTGTTCGAGTCTCTCTCGCACCCCCATAGGTCGCGCCCCCGGTGAAACCCTACGTCGTCCTTTACCACCTTGAATTTCATGATGCGTGCCATCCTGCATGCGCTGTCCTTTCTGAGCCTTTGCACGTCTGTTTTCGCTGCAACAGCGGAACAATGGAGGAGCCGTTCGATATACCAGTGCGTATGCTGCCTCCAGCGTTCAATTCTGTACTCAGTGAATGATCCAGGATCATAACTGACCGATACGCGCTCTCGAAAGGGGCCAATCGCGATGCGTGCGACCCGGGCGATCAAACCTGGTGCGGTGGAACGTGGAACACCACCCGGGAAAATTTGGACTACATACAGAACGCTGGGTTCACTGCCGGTAGGTGCCATTTCTCGTCACTGTCGGCTCCTGCTGAGTATATGCGTCTTCATAGTCTGGATCAGCCCTGTGTCCCAGAATTACGAGGGCCCTCGCACCAGTTATGGAGATGCGTACCACGGCTACTGGATTGCGGATGTGACGGAGCTGAACAATCGTTTCGGGACCTCGGATGACCTGAAGGCACTCTCAGCGGAACTGCATCGGCGGGGAATGTGAGTCTTCATCATGTGGCTAGGTTCCGATTTTTACGGAGATTTCGCAGGTACCTCATGGTAGATGTAGTTGTCAACAACGTCATGGGCACTTCCATAATGCCGGATCTGTCAACCTACTACTTCAAAGAGCAGGTACGCTGCCTGCTCAATTGCTCTTTGGGCGCACGTCTCACATCGAATTTTCCTAGTCACAATACCACCCGTATTGTCCTATCCAGTGGGGCAACACGACCAGCGAGCAAGATTGTTGGCTGGGCGATAAGGTGGTGACTCTTCCCGATCTGAATACCCAAGACCCGACTGTTGTTTCTGGATATACCGCGTGGATCAAAGCGCTCGTCAGCGAGTACGAGATCGACGGATTGCGCATTGACGGCGAGCTATCTTCATCGTTTATAGATTCTATATATTGATTCTATTTCCTTGATGGCAGCGGCTAAGTGAGATATTAGTTACCTCGAACCTCCTGCGCAATATTGAGCAATTTATAGGCATGTCAACATGGATTTTTGGCCGAAGTTCTCTAGTGCAGCCGGGGTATTCTGTATCGGTGAAGTCTTTGATAGCGACGTTGCGTGAGTATTATCATACGATGGCGCATACCAGCTCATTGTCATCATCAGCCAAGCGGCGCAGTGGCAAGGAACTGATGCCCTCGACTCCATCCTGAACTACCCCATGTACGGCGCGCTGGTGGATGCGTTCGGCATTCCTGGTTCGCTCAATACAAGCGCGCTGACCGATATGGTGACACAGTCGCAGAAGACGTTCAAGGTGCGTCATCGGCACCATCACCTTGCATTGCACATATTATATATATTCATGGCTAGGATACCGGGCTGCTGGGCAATTTCCTAGAGGACCAGGATGTACCTCGATGGTCCAATTTCTCCACGGATCCGCAGAGCAAGTACAACGCTATGGTGTTCAATTTCATGTCAGACGGGTAAGAGCTCTGACCACTTCCGAGGTTTTGTGATTCTGAATGGTGGGTGCAAGGATTCCGATTGTATATTATGGCCAGGAGCAGGCGTTCCATGGTAGTGGTGACCCGGTACGCAAGGCGCATGAGGCCAGTCTTGTACGGTCACTGAATAGTCACTCAGTGGAACAGAGAGCCCTTGTGGCCCTCTAACTATACCAACACTACGACATATCAGCTGATGTCCACGTTGAATAAGGTAGCGCCGCTTGTAAGTGCAATGCTGGGGGTCAACTGACAGTTCACTTCAGTTCCGCAACTTCCTGATAAACGGCACCACCGGATGGCTCAATTCTTCGATGGAAATTCTGACAACAAGCCCATACGGCATTGGCATGATGAAAGGCGATGTCGTGTCCATCCTGACAAACATCGGTTCTCCTGTGCGCTGTGTCTTACTCATCAGCCCGTTGGACATGACAAATTGACGAGAGTTGCTTTATCAGCCGCAGAACGTCAGCATTGCCGTTTACACACCATACAAAGAGGAGACGTCCCTTACAGAGTGAGTCGGATTGCAATCTCATTGTTCTATACTGTGAGATGAACCCATATGCAGCATCCTCTCGTGCGAGCAATATGCTGTTGGAAGTAATGGCACTGTGGTGGTCTCATACACCGAAGGGGGGCATGCGACGATCCTCCTGCCAGATAGGCTGATGAACGGCTCAGATCTCTGTGGTTACTATCCGGGCAGGATTGATTGGCTTGGAGAGACTGTGTCAACGCAAGCGGCATCAGGCGCTCAGTTCGTGTCTGGTTCGGCATCCATATTCATACTTTCTGTCCTTTTGGGTATATGTACCATCCTTGTAATGTCGTAGTGGACATTAATTGAATGTAATGGTCGCCGTCTGTTTACCTTGCGTATGTAAGCGCCAATGAACGCGCACGCCACAAATTTCAAGCGGAGCGCCAAAGTGTGCGCGTCGCTCACGTCCTGTGCAATTGCAGGCGTGCTCACCGTCCAAGGCGGTTTCGGTGCGTCTTGCACCTATATTCTACTTGTTGCTCCCCTCTTCGTCCTCAAAAACGGCTTCCGGCAGTGGTGGCGGCGGTCGACGCTCGACCGAGACCGCGTCGCGCGTCCGCACTCCTGCCATGGACAACTCAGTCAATCCCAACATACACACTATCGTAAAGGCCCAAATCGTCTTCCTGCTGTCGACCCTCACAGAGGAGAACTTTGAGCGGAATCAGATTGAGATTCGCTCCGTGCGTTTGCTGCCTGCTCGCTTGTGCGTTCTGAGTTGCTGACATGCTCCTTACTACCCTTCTCGTGGTTTTCAGTTGTCCGAGCAGCATGGGGTCGACACGTACCTGCACTTCATCCGGCGGCTCATTTTCCAATCTCACGGCCGGCTGGCGGCCATGCCCACCCCGACCACTTACGACGCGTCCACTTCTCTCGCCTTCCGCTTGCTAGTGCAGGAAACACAACGCCTCGCACGCGACCCCTTCCTCGCTGACCGTTTTCGCGATGGCATTGATAAGGGCGAAGGGGACATATTCCGCAACTTCGATCTGGTGCGCTTCATGGACCTCATGGGGCTGCGGCCGCTCGAGAAGCTCGTCCTCGCGTCGTCAATTGCGGCAGGCCAGACGCGGAGAGAGCTCCAAACGCAGGCGGTTGGCATCATTCACGCCGACTTCGAGAACGCGGTTTTGGCGATTTGCCAGCACCCGTCGTTTGACCACGCAGACCTGTCTCCCAACCAGATCGCAAAGCTGCTGGCGAACCTGCTATCTGAACCTCCTTCGGATGCGCCCATTCTGGACGGCCCCCAGCGCCAGGCTTTGATTGCAGCAGCCCAAGCGAAATACGGGTCTGAGATTGTCTTGCCCATCTTGCAGCGCATCTTGCCGAATTTGAGGTCAGGATCATTCATTAGGCCTCATTTGACCACTAGTAACCCTCTTTACAGCCTTCCGCCTGGAACATCGCTGGTGCAGGCACTGGTTCAGCTGGGACCGGACATCACCAGCGATCTGGACATCGTCCGTGCCATCCTGGCACGCTTCGGCATCACAGACTCGAGCCTTCCTCGCGATGCGCAGGTTGTTGAGGCTATCCAGGCACTAGCACGTATGGCATCTGAGGGTGCAGTCCTGCCTGATGTGGGATCGTTGGTGCAGGCTCTGGACAGCTTCGTGAGTGATGTCCGCTTCAGATTGCGTGCATTGTGCTAAGTCGTGCTTAGGACGCCACGATCCAGTGGGCAGATGTCATCAAAGCATTTGACATGCCGGATCGCCAGGGGGTTGATACCGCAACGTTGAAGCTGCTAATAGCCATCCTGCTGAATGCCCCTCAAAAGGCCGAGCCACATGCGGTAACCGGCTTCTGGCAGACATGGTCGAACTCCATGTATCAGCTGCGGCTCCTGGATGCTTTGTTGTCTCTTCCCGCGGACACGTTCAACTTCGTTTCGCTGCCTGGGCACAGAATTGTTACGGTCGACGATGTGGCCGGGGCTAGTCCAACAATCAAGTCTCTCGCTGCTAACGTTCAAGGACATACCTGGAACTCGTTGGACCTGTTCGAGGTGTTGGTGAGATTGTCAGACTCGGACTCGATAGAAATAAGGAATTTCGTGCGCGAAATGCTAGATAAAGCGGTGAAGATCAGCGCGGAGCTGGTTCATATGGGTCTTCTGCAGATTCCGGTATGTGACCATTTTTGAGATTGCTGCGACAAGACTAATCGTTCCCAGAACGCCAAATGGACGGAGATCCGCTTGGATTACACACAGAGACTTCTGTCAATGTTTTTGGCTGGCCATCCGAACCATCAGCTTGTCTTCATGCGTTTGTGGCAAATCGAGCCCACTTACCTCACGAATGCTTTCCGAGATTTCTATGATGAAAGTCAATCGAATATCACCAGGATTCTGGATGTCGCACAAGATCTCAAGGTGGGTGCGATGACCACTCCGATCGTACATAGTCCGCTCATCTTCGTGCAGATTCTCGAGGCGCTTCTGGAAGTCCGTCCCTTCACATTTGCACTGGATGTGGCTGCCCTGGCTTCACGCCGGGAGTACTTGAATCTGGACAAATGGTTAGCAGATCAGATCACGGCTCACGGTGCCGATTTTCTCCACGCCGTCATCACGTTTTTGGATCTGAAGATGGAGAGCGAGAAGGCGGTCAGAATCTCCGATCCTCCCGTAGACCATAACACCATGCCCCTCAGCCCACAAACCATCACCATATTCCTCCGTGTCCTCCGCAACAGGTGCGTCGCTACTTGCCTCTGCAAAGTTGTATTAATGCTCATGTTGATATAGCTCCAATAACATGCAAGAGGACGATGTCGACTACTGTCTTCAGGTCCGCAACGCGTGTCTGCAAATTCATCCGCGCTTGATGAACCTAGTGCCAGGTTCTGACGCCGAGCCCGGCTTCTCCGTCATCAGCTACTCCCCTGAGATCGAGAACGAAGTCGACGCAATCTACAAGCAGATGTACGACGAGCAGATCAGCATCGACGATGTGATTGCTCTTCTTCAACGTAACAAAGCCTCCACGAACCCCCGCGACCATGAGATCTTCTCCTGCATGCTACATTTCCTCTTCGACGAATACAAATTCTTCCAGTCGTTCTACCCTCCGCGAGAGCTGTCCATGACCGGCTACCTCTTCGGATCCCTTATCCAATACCAATTAGTCGACTATATACCCCTCGGCATAGCAATCCGCTATGTCCTGGACGCCCTCAACTGCCCTCCTGATACAAATCTGTTCAAATTCGGTATTCAAGCCCTTTCACGGTTCGAGTCCCGCTTGTCCGAATGGCAACCTCTGTGCCAGGCTCTGCTCAAGATTCCCCACCTACTCGAGGCTCGTCCTGATCTTGCTGTCAGCATCCAGCGCGCTATCGCCAATGGCGGCGACGAGAGTAGTAGCAGCCTGGATCTTCGTATTCTTGCGAACGGTTCCGCTCCCGACCCTCCGCCGGTCTTCACTGCTATTCGGCCTGACCATATTGAAGGCGAGCCAGAAGTTCCACCGGAGGAGGTGTCGGACAAGATTCTGTTCATCGTCAACAACTTAGCACCATCCAATTTCGATGCAAAGCTGGAGGAGATGCGCGAGCAGTTCCAAGAACAGTTTTCGCGCTGGTTCGCGAACTACATAGTGGACCAGCGAGTTGGCACAGAGCCGAATAATCATCAGCTATATCTTCGTCTACTCGAGGCGCTCGACACGAATTCGCTTTTTCACTTTGTGCTCCACGAGACTTTCGTCAAGTCCGCTGCTATGCTGAACTCGGAGAAGACTATGACGTCTAGCTCAGAGCGTGCAGTGCTGAAGAACATCGCTGGCTGGCTGGGCAAGATCACGTTGGCTCGTGATCGGCCCATCAAGCACAAGAGCCTCTCCTTCAAGGACCTACTCATTGAGGGATATGACAATGGAAGGCTGATGGTGGCGGTTCCTTTCGTTTGCAAGACCCTGGAGCCGTGCGCGCAATCGAAGGTCTTCAAGCCGCCCAACCCTTGGCTGATGGCAGTCATCAGTCTGCTCGCGGAGCTGTATCACTTTGCCGACATGAAGTCTCTTCTCAAGTTCGAGATTGAACTGCTCTGCAAGGCGCTTGATATCGATCTCGACTCGGTGCAAGCCACCACAATTCTGAGAAACCGCCCGCTGACCGACACATTGACTGGAGGCGGCCTCCCGGAGTATGTCGCTGATATCGAGTCTTTGCCCATGGGCGGTTACGATCCGAGTATCCAGTCTGCGGGGGAGTCTCAGGTATTACCTCTCGGCCCAACCAGTCCGTCGGAGACGCAGCGTGTTTTAGGTGCCCACATCGAGAATATACTGTCCAGTATGCTATCCCTGGTGGTTATCAGCCCACAACTAGCACAACTCGCTACGAACCCTACTTTCAAGCGCGCTGTCCAAATGGCCATTGATCGAGCCGTGCGAGAGGTACGAGTGGTTCTTAATTGTCACCGTCAGGGCGACATGTTGATAGATTATGTCCAGATAATTTTGCCGGTTGTCGAACGGTCGGTTACAATTGCTGGGATATCCACGAGGGAACTTGTGGCGAAGGATTTTGCTACTGAGCCCAACGAGGACAAACTCAGAAAGGCCGGTCACTTGATGGCACAGAGACTTGCCGGAAGCCTTGCGTTGGTAACCTGCAAGGAACCGTTGAAGAGCAATTTGGGCGGTCACATTCGTACCTTCCTCAACGAGTTTGGCTTTAATGAGGTATAGATCTCCGTTCAGAATCCATATGACTCACCTTTTGCTAAGACATGGTTCGATATTCAGCAGATCGCTAGTGACCACATTGTCTTCCTCCTCGTCCAAGACAATCTCGACTTGGCGTGTCAGGCGATAGAGAAAGCTGCTATGGATCGTGCGATTGTTGACGTCGACGAAGGGTTTGCTGCTGCCTACGAAGCGCGCCGACGTCACCGGGAGGTGAGCACGCACAACGTGTATAATGAATTTTGGCTCAATGCTCCTATAGCAACGCCCAGGCCAGCCTTTCTGGGACCCTACGGCTCCTCAATCTGGTCTTGCTACGACATTTCCCGAACCGTTGCGCATTCGCCCAACCGGCATCCAGCCTATGCAGGCCGCCGTTTACGAAGATTTCGGTAACCTCGGCGAGCTTATTCCTCAAATGTTCGCTCATGGCTCTCCAGGATCAGACCCGAGGAGGCGGACGTTCACGAGCAGGCCGAGTTCAACGGCATCTTACCCTCGCCCTGATCAGCTTGCTGCATCCGCATATGGACCTTCCGCCTTGCCTGAGCAGACTTTGCCTGGTCAAACCTTCCTTCGTCATCAGGATGCTATGGATCGCTTCAACGTAAGTTCTTTAATCATTGCTGTCGTAGCATGTTCCCTAACAACCACTCTAGGCGCTCGGCAAAGACTTGGAGGCTTTGTTACTTCAGTACCCAACTTTATCTCTGGCCGCGCTGCCACCGAGCCATGACGTTCGCCTCTTGGTCCGCCAGATCTTGTTCCTTGCCAACGACTCAATTGATCGGCAGCGCACTCCTCTGTTGATGTCTCAAAAAATCGTTCAGCTTCTGTACAAGACACCTACTCAATTGGGACGTGACATCTACGTTGCTATACTAGAGCAACTATGCCGTTCGTTCGAGGAAGTTGCCAAGGAGGCCATCACCTGGTTGATCTACGCGGATGATGAGGTACAGTAACTTTGCTCTTCAGTGATCGTCTTCCGCTGATCTTGTCTCTGAAGCGCAAATATGATGTGCCGGTGACGGTAACATTACTGCGGAGCGGTCTTATTTCCGTTGCTCAACAAGACCAGCAACTTGCGAAGTCATTATATATAGAGGCTAAACCCTCTTTGTTGACCTTCGCTGCAGAGTTGGTCCGAGAATGCCTGTCAACTGAACCACCACTCGCATCGCAGAGCCAGTTTGCCAACACCCTCGAGGCACTTGCTCAGTTGTCTCAGGCCGGGAAGGCCAATGAGGAGTGAGTTTTGTTTTGTCAGAAATAAGCATGGGTTTACTCACGTCATTGCTAGTGTCCTCCGGCTGTTGGACGACCTGCGTGGCATACGACGCCCTACGGCGCCTGCTGTGGGCGATGGCCAGATCGTGCGACAGGCCTCGGTCAAACCTGAAACTGAGCAATTAAGGGAGAAGCTGTTCTTCTGGTTCCAGCAGTGGGTGACAATCTTTCAGCGCTCCCACTCTCCAGAGAAGTCGTTTGTGCCGTTCATTACGCAAATGACGAAGCAAGGTATTCTCAAACTGGAAGATGTCTCGTCATTCTTCTTCCGTGTTTGCGCAGAATCGAGCGTGAACAGCTACATCAAATGCGTGAACGCGGGCGAATATGACTATGCATTCCAAGCGCTGGACGCAATGTCGAGGTTGATCGTCTACATCATCAAGTATCACGGAGATGCATCGGGTCACAACAACGACCAAGCGAAGGTCCACTATCTCACAAAGATCTTGTCCATATTCGTGCTCGTGTTGGCCAATATGCACGAGGAACAGGGCCCACTCTTCCAGCAGAAGCCATTTTTCCGATTCTTTTGCAGCCTCCTCAACGATTTGCACACGATTGAAGCCAGCCTCGGAACCGCTTATTTCCAATTGTTATTAGCCATTGGGTGAGTTTGACATGATTCGAGTTGGCGCGACCGTCGAAATTGACAACGATATCGACAGCGATACCTTCAGCTCTCTTCAACCGACCTACTTCCCTGGCTTCGCCTTCTCCTGGATGAGCCTGATCTCTCACCGTCTCTTCATGCCAAAGTTGCTGCTTTCTGAGAATCGAGAGGTAAGCTACAGTCCTGTGATTACACTGTATCGATGTATTCATCAGCGAGATAGGGATGGTCTGCCTTCTACAAGCTTCTGCTCTCCCTTTTCAAGTTCTTATCTCCATTCCTGAAAGCGGCAGACCTTCAGCCTGCTTCGAGAGATCTGTACCGAGGCTCGCTCCGACTGCTTCTGGTCCTACTCCATGACTTCCCGGAGTTCCTCAGCGAGTACTACTTCACTTTGTGTGATGTGATCCCTCCTCGATGCATCCAATTACGCAACATCATCCTAAGTGCATTCCCACCGACCATCGTACTGCCTGACCCGCACCTCCGCAACGTTGACTTCGAGTCAATCCCTGAGATGGGACCCATACCTCCAATCCTCTCGGACTTTGCGTCGGCGCTTAAAGCTGGGGAGCTATCCGGTCACCTCGACCAGTACCTGCTGAACCGAGGATCACCCTCCTTCCTGCCTTCTTTGAAGGAGCATCTCCGATTGACCGGCGTTGCCGAGGGAGCTCCGGTGACTTACAATCTCTCCTTGATGAATTCGCTCGTAATGTACATTGGAGTGTCATCGGTCGCTCAAGCTAAAGCCAGAAATGGGAGCGCACTTTTCGTGCCAAGCGACCCCGGAGTGGTCGCCCTGCAGTACCTTGCCACCAACTTGGATGTAGAAGGTAAGTTCCTCGTCCCGCCGGTATGACTGGAAGTCACAGTTACTTATGCACATTCTCGCAGGCCAGCACCATCTCCTAAGTGCTATGGTGCTTCATTTGCGTTACCCAAATGCACACACGCACTGGTTCAGCTCGCTCATGCTCTATCTCTTCTTGGAAGTCAAAAGCGATCAGTTCAGGGAGGTGATGACGAAGGTGCTGTTAGAACGGTTCCTGGTGCACCGACCGCACCCTTGGGGAGCCTTGGTCACCTTCATCGAGCTTCTGCGCAATCCAAAGTACGACTTCTGGAGTCAGGACTTCATTCGGGTTGCTCCGGAGGTAACCCTCCTTCTTGAGACCGTGAGTAATCATATTAGTGCTCTATGCGGGTGATGCTTACTGTCTCTTCCATAGGTTGCGCGATCCATATTCCAGTCGTAGCCTGTCTTGTCTGCTGTCGCTCTCGCTATCTGTGATCTATTTTACCCTGTCCTTTCCCTTCCTTCCCTCTGGTCTCTGGGTTTTGTCATCATTGCACACTGTATTGTACCAACAATTTCCCACCCCATGTCTCAAAAGGCATACGTGACGACTCGAACTTTGCTTACGGTCGGGCTTTGCGGATCCACGTACATACTGATTACGATAACTGTGTTCTGTATATTCGAACCCGATGTATCACCCCATACATATCACATCATAATTCAGAAGTAAGACATGGCGTCGTTCCATTGCCAATCATTTCCCCAGACTCTGCACGAATGTTAGCACAAGCCACGTAGCTCAACAATGAGAATACACCCACCCAGCCACTAAGACGCCAGCAGCCGCTACGATGTCTGAGATGTCGCCGAGGATGAGGAAATCTGGGGATGTTATGCCGGTGCGCACTGGGACAAGTCGTAATGCTCTCTCCAAACCGATTTCCACATCCGTGTGAATAACTAGCATCAATGCATCCGAGTCATAAGGATGCGGATGCAGAAACAAGGCAGTATTCTCCGATGTATTGAGCGGACGACCCTTCAGTCGTAGCGATCCATCATGCATACTAAATTGAGACCTGTTCGAAGCGAGAACTGATCCCAAGAAATGGCTCTCTGAGCTACCCAGCACGACGATATTGCCTCGGCCTAATGAACGGGAGCTCTGTCTTCGCAAGGCCTCTTCATCGTCTATGATATCGGCATCTATCTTGTGATACAAATCGAGATTATTGGCGATTCGTAGAGCAGCCGACAGCAAATGAGGAGACTCGTAGTTGTCGATGACGATGGTGAGAGGAGCAGACGTCGTTAAGATGCGTGACAATCGACCGGAAGGCTGAATGATGTCTTGTACGAGATTGGAAGATTGCTATCGTCATGTGAGTTCAGCCTATATGCGACACAAGAAGCGGAAACTCTTGCATTCCAAATTCCACTCTGATATGAGAAGTGCAGCATCACAGCCGTGGCAGAGCCGGTCCATGCGACGAGGCTTTCGTCGACATTTAGCTCTGAACCATCAGGGAGACTCTTGACGGAGAAAGTCGCGACATTAGACGTTTGCACGTTAACCTTCATGCCTTCCATCCTTACAGTCAACCTCGCCAGTCTAATCAGGTCATGAATGTCAGACCACACGAGCTTTAGACGTTGTGCAACTTACCGGCCAGGTACAAGTAGGCTGCGAATCCGCCAGCCATGCAATGAACCGCTCTCAGCGGGTATTGATACAGTCAGCGTGAAGGACCTAGGCTCCGTAGGTGGAGGCAGATGAGATGAACCTGGCTCCTGCTCCAATATTGAGCGGATAAGCCCTTGAACGTCACTGTTATCGAAGACTGTTGGGTACCAGTGCGACTGTCCTGAGTCCTCTCTATAACTGCGAGAACACGCAATTAGTGGCTGAGTGTGCAACTTGAAAACAGGTTTATTCACGAACGTCACGTTCGCATCGGGGTTCCAAGCCTTGAGGACGCTCACGGCTTCGCGAGTGTGCCATACAGGGACGTTCTCATCGTCTCCCCTGATATGCGAATATTGAGAACGATCAACCAAAGCTCCCTTATGGTAACACGCACCCGTGAATCGCTAAAATAGGTGTGTAAGCAAGGTTTGAAAGAAACAGGTCGTTGTCGTCGGGTGTAAGTGATGATTCGAGTATCGCGCGCATAGAGGGGTCAATGTAGTGTGCCGCTCTGATCGACCATCAGAATGCATCAACGACGATCGCAATCCGTCAAGTACGCACCGAGATTGGGTAAGTGGGACGTATGCTTGCGACTTGATATATGCGGCAGCGGAGACCACTGATGAATGCTTGGATAAAGGCTACGTTTGCGAATCACTAATTTACGTACCTCCCACAATACGATCTGGATATCGCGACGCCAAAAACCAGGCACCTTGACCGCCGTTGGAGTGGCCCAGGACTAGGACACGGGTGTTCTCCGACAAAGAATACTCACTCCATGCTGGATTGTGCTGCAGGATGCCGTATAACGCGTCCACTGTGCTCCAAGCATCCTGTGCACTGGGACCATGCCAGTCTAAACCCTGTAGGACCATCTCTTATTCATTATGCAACACGGGCATATCGCGAGTTAGCGTACCCAGGCAGTGCGGCCGGTAGGCGCGATCGTCCAGCTGCGACGTTGACGAGGAAGGGCCTGTATCCAGAACGGCATCGATATGATATCGACCCCAGCACCATCTATATACAACTGCATTCAACAAACGGAGAGAACGCAATGTAAAAGCCAGCTTACGAAGGGCCAACACCGGAGGATGCGGCTCGCCAGAGTTCAGTTCCTGAGGGGGTTTCACGATGAATGCGGTCGGCATCGTCGCTGCGAAAAAGTACGATGCTTTGATGCCATCAGTAGGGTAGACGGTTGCGTTCCAAAGCGCATGATGGACAACGGGTAGAGTGACACGCAAAATTTCGGAAGCGCCACCAGAAACCAGATGTAGGTCGAGAGATAGTTGTATGAGAGCGACAGAGGCATTCTGAGTGATTCTGACTGGCACGATACGGGTTTGCGTTGGCGCGATGCGAATTGTATTCACCAGCATCAGTTCGAGCTGCCGGTCTCTGTCAGTTGCCAAGTTATGGAAGGGTTAAGGAAACTTACCCCGTCGATATGAGAAGCTAGCGATACTTTTTTGACCGTCCACCAGCCAGACACGCTTCGCACTCCTATGCCCAACGCATCGCCGAACGCCCAGCCGTTAATGAAGTCGCATGAAACGTCATGCGATGACATTAAAGCTACCGTAGGTTGCGCCGGTTCTTCCTCTATCTCAATTTTGAGCGACATGGAAAGAACTGGGACACCATGGCGGTTTCCATTGTATAATGGATCCCCGAAGAGTCTGATCTGTGTGATTGTGAGTATATGCTATGGAACCTTGCGGCAGATGCATGTGATACCTCGTAATCTCCACTTATGAATAGATCATAGGTGGTAGGCGATATGCGTGACGGAGGAGTCGGAAACGACACAGCTTGGAGTGGAGCTCTGTTCATGTCGTAGACGTTTCCCGCGTGCCATTGAGGCACTATCGAAGGCGAACTGTGTTCAGCATTTGTGCGAGGTATTACCGTAAAGAAGGAGCCTTGCACGAGGTTTACTAGGAGACGCGGGTGGCTATTTGAATGTGCTGACATAGTAGAAGATGGCGGGTATACAGTCACAGTGCTTCGTAGAACCGAGTGATGCTGCAGCGCAGCCCATCCCTCAGTAGCTCGCAGTGATTCCCACCTGATCGTGTCTCAATATGACACAATGGTAGAGTCCATGTATGCGGACGGACCGTATGTTTGGGAAGGATACATCCAGTTCACCATCACCTTTGAAACGAACGGTTGTCCACCTTACGGCACCCCCGTCTGCGTAGGATGATGGCCAGGCCGCATTGAAGTCTATCTGGTCTGTTACTGGTAGAAAAGAGATATATAGTCAGACGACTCGAGAAGAGAGGTGAATGCTACTCACAGTTGATTGGGAATGATGGTGACAATAGATGTTGCTCTCTCGCGTGGATGGGAAACGGTCCAAGAACCTGAGTTCTTTGTTAGTGAGGAGATTCCCTAGCAAAATATCTTGCAGAATTTCGACGTATTCGTACTCACATCCCAATCGTCGGAGACAGAGACGCGCCAGTGGCTGTCTCCGGACGCTTCGAACACGCGTTGAACTTGCTCTCCTACCACATTCGCCATCGCTGAGGTCGGCAGCAAGCACATCAAAATAGTTGATATCCAAGATTGCAGGAACAGCATGGTAGCAACCTGGTCGTGGGTTGTCGAAGGCGCAGCTGGTGGCATGCAAGATGCACACGGTCACATTGCTCGCTTCACCTTGTCTATCAATAGCGGTTTGTGCAGATCGCGCTCACCCCAGCTCGCAGTATCATGGGCTCTGAATTGCAAGGGTGTGCAGTCGAAGATAAGAAGAGTTTCGAGGATACAATGTCTGTGCTGTCTGGCCTGCCCGTTGAAGCGAGCTCTCATAGAACGTCTATGGTCACTCTTACCGCCCCTTCTGTCAACCACCTAGGCCCATGCTCTGCTTGAATGCATGTAATCGGTTCTTTTCCAAGAAGAAACCATTTATGTCTGCTCTTCCTTCCCGCAATACATATATGTCTTTTCTCACGAGTCGCTCTTGCGTCAAGCCCTGACGGTCGTTTGGGTGTGCTACTCAATGAAATGAATCTTCTGACCGAGGTGCCGCTGACCGACTAGCACGGGCGATAGTATACTGTATGTTATCTCCTGGCACAATCCGAACTCCCTCAGCAAGCCTTGCCGGCCTCCCGCTCTGCTGCGAGCAAGTCGCTCACCGATGGAGTGAACAGGCATGATGCTTCGGTACGTCTTAATTCTCGCGCTCCTGTCACAACGGAGGACGAGAGCCAATTGAAAGGACAGCTTTGCTTTCGCACAGAGTCAATGCTGTCCAAATTTGATCCGATATGGCATACATGCTTCCATTATTTCTAGCATCGGCTGAACAACATAATCGGCAGCCCTTTATCACCTAAATCACCAGTGCAACGAGAATGGTCGCATATCCATGACCTTTCTATCTCTACATTCAAACGGCAGACCTACTTGGAGCGGGAAATGACTGGGTATGTTGCGGAATTGTCCGCATACTGCGCATGGTCTATCCAGCGGCGAACACAGGATCCTCATCGGTCGGCTACTCTCGCACCATTGTCCGTCTGTTTCAGGGAAATCAATCCCTCGTCGACTATGTACCGCGGTCTATCACAAACCTTTCGCGACTACTAGCGCCTGTCTTCATTATACGCATCCGAGTGACTTGTTGTGCGACAAACTCGATGACCCAATCACCTTCTTCGCGAGCAACTTGCCTCAGCAGCTGTCTTACACACTCTTGCGCTTACTCTCATTGCATCTGTATGATCGCTCTCTGCTCAAACCAGCTCTACAATGTCCCGAACTCTCTCAAAGGACCGTGGAGCAGCGGTAGCGAGCAGCTAAGCAAATGCGTTTTGCCGCTATTCGGAAGACGGACCAATGAAACGTCGTGCACAACGTATGTTATATTCCAACGTTTGACAAGCCAGATGTGGCTGCAGAGAATAAGCGTGCGGAGCCATGATGGAAGTTGCAAGTGCTTAATGCTGGCTGCAGATGAAGTCGCGTAAAATGGGGAGATGCTGTGTGACATTGCATTTCGTCCGATCTATAGCCTAGGAGTCACTATACACTATTAATAGATACTTAACCACATTTCAAACCGATGCACACGTGACCGTGAATTGCACGTCACTGGTCGAGCTGCGGCGCGTCCTGCCAGAGCTCTACGTTTAAGGCGGGCTGTACAGCGCAACCATACTCATCACAAACACCTAAGGGGCGCAGAAGGCACGTTACATATACTCGCTCAGTGAAGTGGCCGCAGAAATGGCGAGCGTACACGAACCTCAAGCATTTACCACCTATGGGTGGATCGCATGCATTTGGATCCTCATAGTGTCTTTCCAGGTGAATTGGTCGCAAACCCTGTTCCGATCCTTGTCTCTTAGTCCGTTTTTGATTTATTGCATCCTGAGCTAACGTGAACTTCTCGTTGCTATTCTACAATACTTACAGTATGGTTACCACATCTCGTCCCTCAACCAAATCCAGGCGGTGCTTACTTGTCGAAATGCAATACCAGAAAGCCCTACGGTGCATTACGGCCTGCCGGCCTGTATACCCATGTCTGATGCGACATTTTCTGTGCTCACGTCCGTCTACACCGTCGGCGGTCTCATCGGTAGCCTTGGTGCCAATCTCGCCATGGATCGCTGGGGCAGAAAGGGCGCATGCCGCGTTAGTGCACTTGCGACGGCAGTCGGCGCGGGAATTATGGGTATATCCGCCTCCTTGACATCCTTGATACTAGGACGGTAGGCCATCGCCTCTGTATTTCCTGACGCTAAACATAAACCTCGCGTGTAGCATGCTCACAGGCATTGGCGCTGGCGTCGGCCTGTGTGTCGGACCAATCTTCCTCTCTGAGATCACTCCGCCGAAGATGAGAGGTGCTATCGGTACGCACTACATTTCTTCATAGGTTAATGCGGATTTGACTTCTCGGTTGCAGGCGTGCTGACACAGTTCGCCATCGTCATCGGCATTATGACCACGCAAGCAATGGGTCTGCAGCTGGCAACTCCTAGGCAGTGGAGAATTGTCCTTTTATTCTCTACCGCTCTGGCCGCTTCGCAGCTATTCGTTAGCTCGATGATGGTCGAGTCGCCGACTTGGCTGAACCGACATGGCTTGCTGCAAGAGAAGGATAAAGTGGCGCGGAGACTATGGAAGAGCGGACAGATTGTGAGGAGTCCGGATCGTCGGTGTCATATAATCGCTTTTGTGAGACTACTTGACCTCATGATCACTCCTCGCAGTGCCCACCTACGATAGCGAGGATCCGCTATTGAACACTGAAGATGCGGACGAGGATGATCAGATCAAGCCCGTGGAAGAACATGCAATTTCCGTGCCTCAGTTGTTGGTGACTCCGGATCTGCGCCGCCCGCTTACAATCATCTGCTTCTCGATGCTTGTCCAACAACTGTCTGGTACGAGTTTAGCCACCACCTCCAGCAACCATTTCTGCTGACCAATTTGCCATTCGACAGGTGTCAATGCCGGTGATTCAGCCCGCCGTTTATGCAGATAGTATCACTCATAATAGCGCAGTCTTGTATTACAGTAACGACATCCTCTCCAAGGCATTGCCTGATCTTGGGCCCTACGTCTCCTTGGGCATCACAATTGTCAACACCATTATGACTGCCGCGCCAATCTTCCTCATCGATGTGCGTCTACTTGTAGCCCTCTTGCGGTTCTGCTAAATGATTATTCCACAGCGTCTCGGACGAAAACAGCTCCTGTCCATGTCGGCAGGAGGAGCGCTTCTCTCCCTCTTTGGGGTCGGTTTTGGGTTGGACTCAAACCTGACTTCTCTCGCGAGTATCTCCATCCTGGCTTTTGTGGCGTATGTGCTTGTCGCTCCACCTAACTGCAGCCTATTTGACGTTTCTTGCTTTGCTAGATCCTTCGCTATTGGGATTGGTCCGGTTCCGTTTGTCATGATTCCGGAGGTCTCTCCGCGCCATGTGAGCCGCTCTCCATTACAAGTCGGCAAGTCTGAATACTGATCGCTTCTTTTTTGGCTAGGCCGTATCTGCGCTGTCGTCCGTGGCTCTGTCGCTCAACTGTGAGATCTCGCTGCCCACAACCACCTCTTCACTGACCGCTGATTGCACGCATTAGGGATTGCAAACTTCATCGTCGGTTTAGTGTTTCTGCCGTTGCGCAATCTGCTCGCTCAGGACGATCCAGACAAGGAAGGCCGGGTGTTCTATGTCTTCGCCGCCATGTTGGCGTTGTGCACATTCGTGCTCTTCAGGGTTTACAGAGGTTGATTGAGTTTGCATACTGTATTTTATGTCTTCTCGGGAATTTCTAAGTGTATCGTCGTACGTATGCACAGTGGTAACCTGCCCAGCCCATCAACGAGAGTTGCCATACCAGGCAGTGGGTGTGATCGGGCACGCGCGGCTCGTACTGGCCGGCTTACCTAAGTATCTCGGCACTGCACTGGTCAGAGCCCACAGCGGCCGCCTGGTCTCACATCTCATATAACTCTCACCCGGCTTCCTCTCCGTCACAGTGTACATTATTGCAATGGCCCTCTTCAGGCGGAACAAGAGGGCGAGCGACGACCCGGATGCGCCTGTAGCGCCGAAGAAGGAGAAGGGAAGCTGGAGGCGGCCGGCTAGTCAGTATTCATCATCGCTCTCGGTCAGGTAAGCGGGCTAACCTGACGCACTTTCTTGTACAATGCAGACACCGCGTTCAAGCAACAGCGGCTGAAAGCATGGCAGCCCATCTTGACTCCGAAGACAGTGCTTCCGACGCTCTTCATAATCGGCATCATATTTGCGCCCATAGGAGGGCTGTTGGTGTGGGGAAGTGGCTTGGTACGCCGATTTTACATGCAAATGTTGCCCATCGAGTCTCATGAGGCTGGTCAAACAGGTCAGCGAGATGTCGTTTGATTATACCGACTGCGAAAAGCAGCCCGCTTCATCATCGACGTCCGACCTGACCTTCTACAACCTGACCAAGTACAGCTACAAACTCAAGTCCTCAGAAACTGATGCTCCGTACAACCCGCCCCAATTTGCTTTTGTCAACCGCAGCACCGATTCATCTATCCCCTTAGCAGAGCAGGCGCAATGCTTCATTCAATTCGACGTCCCTATCAACCTCGAGCCCAGCGTATTCCTATACTACAAGCTCACCAACTTCTACCAGAACCACCGGCGATATGTCAACAGCTACGATGCTAATCAGCTAAAAGGACAATATGTAAGCCCGAGCACTTTGAACAAGGGCGACTGCAAGCCGTTGGCTATCCGGGATGGCAAGGCTATCTACCCTTGTGGTCTGATCGCCAATTCGCTATACAACGGTATGCCGTCAAGTCTTCTATCGGCTTTCAAGTTGCTGACGTATCATTCGCAGATTCATACTCTGCCCTGACTTCCACCACCGACTCTTCTACGGTGTACAACTTCTCTTCGTCCGGCATCGCTTGGCCAGGAGAAGCCAAGAAGTATGCCACGTCGCCGGCGTACAACATATCCGAGATCGTCCCTCCGCCTAATTGGCATGATACGTACCCGGACGGCTACACTGAAGACAATCCGCCGCCGGACCTCAAGACGAATGAGCACTTCCAGAACTGGATGCGCACTGCCGGGTTGCCAACGTTCACAAAGCTGTACGGGCGCAACGACGACACCACGCTGGTGAAGGGGAGGTATCAGATTACCGTCAACCTCAGTAAGTGCTCTTGCCCATTCCTGGTAGAACACATCAGCTAAATTGCCACAGACTACCCGGTGTTGCCGTATTCGGGAACGAAATCCGTCGTCATCTCGACCGTGTCATGGATCGGTGGAAAGAACCCGTTCCTCGGGTGGGCGTACGTTGCATCAGCAGCACTGCTGGTCTTCCTCGCCATCCTCGGTACCATACGACATATGATCAGACCTAGGTGCGCACTGCAGTTTATCGTTGCCTTGGGCGCTTCTGACACCCATATGATCATCGTAGGAAACTGGGCGACATGTCTCTGCTATCATGGAACCGGTGATGTCGCTCTTTGCTGATTGACCGGAGTGGACATTCCTTGTACCATACTGCGGCATCGTCGCGTAGAGCACATCATCTCCTAATGGATTATTATGCTGTATTTCCTCGTACCCTTATTGCATATCTGGCATCTCGACTGAACGCTGCGGAGCCCAATGCTGGTGACGATCAGTTGTCGTAGGTAAGCGTTGGTTAAGGACTCGAACTTTTCATTTCATGGTGCTGCGGTGTGTACCCTATTCCGTCGCACTGTATCAAGCATTGCGCAGTACCTTCGACTTGTTCTTGCACAGTGAACTTGGCATCCGTCAGCTGTTCTGCCACCCAAATCGCCGTTCTGGCACCGATAGTTGAGATGCATGAGCAACACAAAGCGACGGGAGCAACGCACTTGGTATGCAGCGTCAAGGGCCCAGTCTTCACACAGGAAGTCCCTTGAGCAAGGGTGAGGAATATGATCATCTGATCCTGTATCCACGTCTCGGCATTGAAACACTGCGGGCATAGGCGCAAGTACGTACCTGCATATACTCGTCCACACAGCCCCCATGAGCAAGATTACTCGCCAGCTCTTCCGCAGCTTCATGGCCGACCTTCGCAGGGTCCTTCCCCTTCGACCCTAGGGCGCTCCCTCCAATCACGCAACCACTCTCCATCTCTGCCCACAGCACAATCCCAGATCCGCTCCCCACTGCGTCGGCTGGCTTCTCTCTCAATGCCGTGATGCTAATCAGCGCAGGATCGACTCCAGCCCTTGTGAGAGTCTCCGCTGCGGCGTCGCGCATGGTTGTCGCGAGGTGTGCGGGTAGGCCGGCGACATACGCCCGACCACCAACGGATATGACTTTCCCGCGCTCTGTGAGCGTTACAGCAGGTAAGGGGCCATCCTTCGGGCACACAGAGAGGCGGACCTCGCCCCCGCCTTTCGGATAGTAGCCACGCTTGTAGATGCATAGCTCCGGATGCAGGTCGAGGAACCGATCAAGGAAGGGCAGGAAGACGTGCGCGGTGTAGTCAATCTGGGGCGCCTGCATTGCGTTCGTCCCGCCGCGCAGGGTGAGATAAGTCGGGGCAGTTGAAGTCGGATGGGACGAGAAGAGCAAGCAGGGAAGGGATACTTGCAGAAGGAGTGTGATCGATCCCGCAGTTCGCGGGTCTGCTGTGTAGGACCTCGACAAACATATCGGTCCTGGAGCAAGCTCGATAGAGGAGGAACCAGGCTCGCAACCTATGAGCTGTGCACCACACAATTCGGCGACGAGACGGAGACCTTGAACGGGTCGGTCGATCACCGGTCAGACAAGTGAGAGTGACGAATACTTACCTGCAACATGCTGCGCCTTCAAGCCTGGAGGTTTCCGGTTGCTGCGGATATTGTGGATTGAGATAGGACGCGCGAGCAAGGCAGATAGTGCAATCGAATTACGGAGGAGTTGACCACCGCCCTCCAACACGCTTCCGTCAATGGCCAACGGTGCTACTGTAGCCATTCAAATAATACTTGCTCGCTCTCTGAGCCTCAGAAACTGCAGGAAAGGCTATGTTGAACGGCATATGTTGACTGATTAAGAAAGTCAAGGGTCGTCATATTTCTATCATGAGCGTCGGCAGAGATCAATGCGGACGCCAATAGACGCTCGGTCTACACGCTTTGGTATTGCCCACGACGACCAGCACCGGGGAACGGTCGTTCTGCAGCGGGAGACATCACTCAGACAGACTTGCTTGCATCGACCTTAGGTGCCGATAGGCAGAGGTACGGGAGAGAGTGTGCTATTTGTGTCCCTGCTAAGCAGTCATCGTGTTTACAGACGCTCATAGGTTCCATAGAACCTGCATTGGACATGGCTGATGAGCGGCGGAATGAATCCAATGCATTCCTATCTTTCTTCGCGACGTTTGAATTGACGAGACCTGTCGCTACGGTCGCTGACCTCTCCGATGGTGCAGCGCTTTACGAGGTTCTATCTCTTGTGTGAGTTGTAGTGCCCCACCGCGCCTGCCTATTCACTTAGCAGAATTGAACGGCAGGGACGCTAATTACTTCCGACAAACTACGCGAGCCTCTTCGCAGCCATCTGATAACTGGGTCATCCGCTTCAATGCCCTGAAACGCCTCTACCGCTTGATGACCCAGTATTTCTCCGATGTTCTCCACCAGCCTACTAGTGCACTTGACGTGCCCGACCTCCAAGCCATCGCCAAGGATAACAATGTCGCTGCGACTGTCATCATGTGCCGTCTTACTATCGCGATTGCTGTACAGTGCGAGAAGAACGAGGACATCATCGAGAAGATACAGAGATTGACCGAGTCCGAACAACACTCCCTCATGCGTGCAATTGAACAGGTCATGGCCAAAGTCAGGGTCTCCGAGGATGCAAGCGTAGGAGAGTCCAGCATGACGGAAGACGATCATTACTACCAGATCCAATCAGAACGCAGTCGCATCCTCTCGGAGAAGGAAACACTGAAGAAGGTATACCAGAACCTGCTCGAAGAGCACCGCGTTTTGCAGAGCAACTTCGATGATATCGCATCTGAGAAGGAAGAAGCGCTGGCGCAGCTCAGGCATGCACAGAACGAGGCAGAGGACAGGCGAGGCGACAGTAGAGGAGATGCAATCCTGCGGGCAGAGATTGATCGCCTCCGAGCTGATCTGTAAGCTCTTTCACTCCCGCACACATCGAGACTGACGAGCAAGGAGTCGGGCAGCCAGAAGAGCGAGGACAATTTGGCGATGGCGGAGGCAGAGCTTGACAAGCAAACGGCAATCGTCACTGATCTTACACGCAAGATCGATGAGTTGCAAGTCAAAGCAGACCAAGCAGGTCGCCTCAAGGACCAGTTAGATGAGTAAGGAGTACTTTCATGTGTGCCAACAGGGAACTGTTCAACTCGCATCCTCCAGATACAGACACACAGCGGATAAGCTGCAGAAAACCGAGAATGTAATGGAAAAATACAAGAAGAAACTCCAGGAAGGAGCCGATTTGCGGCAACATGTCAAAGTCAGACTTTCTCCGTTCGAATGTGGTCACCCCATCTCACGGCATGTCTTGTAGTCATTGGAGAAGCAGAATGCAGACCTTGTGGACAAAAACGCCTCCCTCGAAGAGGAGTATCGCAAAGTCGCTGCGTTCAAGCCGCTGATGGAGTCCTATAAGACACAAATTGCAGAGCTCGAGACTAAATCCTCCGCACGGACGAAGGAGCTTGACAGCGTCAAGTTTGAACTCGAACAGACAAAGATGAGGCTGAAGATGACAGAAGAGGAGCGTGCCAAAGACTCTGAAACGCTAGAACTCTACCAAGAACGCGTCCGCGAGCTTGAGCTCTCTTCGCACGCGCGTCCGACTCCTGCTGCCGTGTCACGGCCCCGCGCTGCAGCTGCAACTCAGGGCAAGAGCGATAGCATGACAGAGGAGGAGCTGCTTGGAGAGAATGGGGCCGTTGCGGACCACGTGGCTCATGCAGATGATGAGGACGTAGGGGAAGTGCAGGGCTTAGGAGAGGAGCTGGATTCCGCCCTCGCGGGCACGACCATGACGGACCTCAAACTACAGGTGAGGAGGCTCCAGCGCGAGCTGGAGGCTGTGCGCAAGAACGAAGCGGACGCGAGCCGAGTGCTGGTTTTGGAGAACCTGCTAGAGGACGCGAACCGCATGAAAGCTCGCTATGAGGCCGATTACCTCGCTGCGCATCGCGAGATGCTCGTCTTGCAGCACAACCTCGAAGAGATCAGGAGTGGCAAGTCATTGGGCGACGGGTAGGTGTTAGTCATGACATTCGGCGGACCATCGTTTTACGACCCATTCATACAGGGCCGAGGCTGCTATTGCGCTGAGACAACGTCTGAATGAGACAGTCGACCAGCTAGATGCACTGCGGAAGGAGCATGCTGAACTGGAAGTCAAATTCGAGAGCATGAGCAGGGAGCTAACCATCGCGAAATCTGATCGTAAGTCTTCTGGCCAGTCAGCATCGTTTTTGCCCTCGATCTCATACGCACCAGTGAACCTCGTCAACAAGGACCAACTGGACATTCTTGCGTCATTGCGGGAATCCATGAGCGAGGACAAGGCTGGGCTGGAACTAGAAGTGCAGAAGTTGCAAAACCAGATCAAAGAGCTTTCGGAGAAGAACAAGATGCAGCTCGAGCAGATCAACGGCTTGTTGTTCGAGAAGGTCAATCTGCAGAGCGAGGGCATTGACCAGCGGGATAGGATGCTGCAGCGCGAACGCGCCATCGGGTATGTGTCGACAACGGCAGCCGAGAATTGCAGCAAATCAACAGCTAACATCGTGTGTAGCGATCTCAGGGCATCGTTATCCGGCAAAGATGTGCCTGAAGACATCAAGGCCCGGCTGCTCAGTCTCCATGAAGAGAATGCCAACCTCAAGGAACAGTACAAGACTGCTCAAGAGAAGCTTTTGAAGGCTCGTTCGGTATGTTTGGGCCGGATGCACGTCGGCCACGAGCTGATGGCGATGCAGTTCATCAAACAACAAGACAAACTATTCAAGGAGGAACATGCCAAGAAGGATGGCGTAGTCCCTTCGGTGGGTCTCATGTACATTACTATCGCATTGCTGGATTGTTCACGTCATTTCAGGGTGCATTCGAGGAAGCGGAAGGCAGTTATCGCTCCCAGATCAAGATAATGGAAGAGGACGTCGCGCGATACAAGGTCAGGATCCTGCGGCTTCGACTCGGATAATCGCTGACCTTGCAATGCGATGCAGCATCTCATCGCCGACCAAGCGAAGCGTTACGCTCGAGAGCAGTCACTCATGCTGAGTATCATTCATACCATGGGCATGCACACGGCGAGAGAGCACTTGGGCAACAAGCAACAGCAAGCGCGGTCGGGGCCTACTAGCTGGTTGGGCCAGCAGAGGAAAAACGTGAGTCTCTGCATTCAATATTTTACCGTCGACGTCTGACTTTACATTTCAGCTTGGACAAACGTTGCGAAGAACGTAGACGGCATTCTTCAGTTCCTAACGCCTTTCGGCACATATATATGCATCCCTGCCAGATGTTTGGATCAAACTCATACCCTTGCATATCATATAGCTGTCGTTATGCTCCGTCGCCAGGATTTCTTTGTATAATTCTTGTCTCGATTAGATAGAGGCATAAGTGGGACAATTTACTCTTGGGATTATTCTGCCAGATCTCTGGAACAAAATCCTCCCAATTTGTGTGGCCCTATAGGCTAGTAGCTCTGCAGAGCAGACGCGCTGCTTACATAACGCGTCAGCACTTTACGCGTCGGTGGCTGAAGGTGGCGTTCGCGTTTCCGTTCCTGCTTCTCCATCTTCGAGACAAAAAAAGGCTTTACTGATGGTGTCTGCGCACCGCGTTGAGGCTCTGCACAATTCAAGTGCATCCTTGAAAGATCTTTATGAAGAATCAGGAAAAGATCATGACAATTTTCCTAAGCTCGTCTCCGAACATTTCTCGCGCGTCTTCTACACTCCTGAGGCCTTCCGAGAGGTTTGAACGTCCGATTAACGAAAAACTGCATCTAATGTATATTACAGATACCAACGCTGGATGTCCAGCATGGACCGGATACATTTCCGGACAGATCGCTCGTCCGCTTTAGGGCTATGGTGCAGGATACATCGCTATCCTCCGAGATGTACTTGTCGAAATCGAGCAGTGGCAAGTGTGGAGGATGGGGTATCGGGTTTTCGGAGAAAGAGGGTCAGGACATGGACTATGCGGACGTGAAAGAATGCGCCGTGCTGTGGGCTGTGAGCGTTCCTGGCGAGTCGCAGTGGTGCTCGCGGGAGCTCGACGGACCGGAAGAATGTAAGCATGATTTTCGTAAATTCCACTATCCTACTGACTTAGTTACTTTTCTGCAGTGCAAGAGAGAACATCACTGGCTGTCGATCGCTCTACATCGAGCTGCGATCCTCAACGTGCCCACAAATACCCGCATCCTTCTGTGCCGCACTTGGGCGTGCAAGTGAAGGTACATGCTGTTTCCCTTTCATCGCAATGCATTTATGAAACTCTGCTTGCAGCTTTATGATACAGATAGTTCGGAGCAACTGAAGGCTACCGATGTGGTGACGTTCGTTGGTATCTTGACTATCGACCCGTCAGTGTTCTTTTCCTATGCTCCACCCAATTTTCTCATAACAAGACTGCGGTCTGCCAGACTCAATTCTGATATGGATGAATTGGCCGAGGTGCCTACTCTGCATGTCCTCTATATGCAACAGCATCCCCATGCATTGCTCTCTCGACCATATCCGTTCACCACAGCTCTTGACAACGAACGCAATGGCACAGATACAGAGTCGGATCAACATATGAAAAGCCAGGAGGAAGTGCGAGCCGATCTCATTTCATGGATAGCGGAAGAAGCGCTGGGTGGCGATCAGGAAGCTGCTGAGTGGATATTACTCATTATGATAGCTCGTGTGTGAGTTTTCTGCCATTCATAGCTCATCCTGGTTCAATTTGACAGTGTTCAATCAGGTTATCACGGAATCCTCCCCTGCTTCCACCGTCGCTCACCTTGGCCTACTTCCCGTCGCCTCCGCCCATGCCCTCTACCAGCGTGACGCCCTCGGCGCCAATTCCTACCTTGTCTTTCGTGCTTGGAGAGTTGCTTCCTTTAACATATACCTTGCCGTTGTCTCTTGATGCACTCAACAACCATCCATATGTTCCGGAAAGCAAAGAGGAAGATTTGCACTCCGGGGTGTTGCAGCTGCCCAAAGGGACCGTTCTACTTGTCACTGAAAGTGGTGTGACTGAAGGAAAGCTCGTGGACCGAGGTAAGTCCGCCTTATCTTTCCGTTGCAAGCTGTGTTTGTTGAAGTAGCATCTGCTAGGTGTACTGAACGTCGCTGCTTTGCAAAAAGTAATGACCGCTCAGACATTAACATACTCCTTTCCGTTCTCGCAATTTACCTTCCCAACGGATATTAGCACTATCGTGCTCAGCGAAGGAAGTAAGAGCGCCTTTTTCAAGGTCAGTATCTCACTTCCGTCTGTTGTACTTATGACCGTTGACCATCTCACTTCAGACGGATCTCATATTGCCGCTCCGCAGCATAGATTCTCCATTAGCCGCAGGAAGGCTGTACAGGTCTCCTCAGATTGTCTCGCTACCGTCTCCAGAGAGACTAGCCGCTTTTCGAAACCTTATTGTAGGCGCTCGGGTGGGGGACGTACAGGTTAACGAGGAGACCTCTCGGGTCCGTTTTGCCTCTGATCGGCCTTCTTGCCTTCCTTGCATGCTCGTCTGATGTCTGAGGAATTTGCAGTACATACAACGTGAGTTTGTCCGCGAGCGGCAGCAAGATCAGACGGTCACGTCAGATGACCTGATACGACGGATGACAGTCGCGAAGTACGTGCCTTTTCGCTGAGCGCACATTGATGACGCTGATGATCAGCGCTGATAGGCTGTACGCTCTCTCGTTGCATGAGACGGATCTGACAGTTGACATCTGGGAGCGGGCCAAGGCCTTCGATGAGCGGAGGCGGAGCGCCTGTGCAAGTGTCACGGCCATCAAGCGATGATCATCAAGTCTCTGCTAGCTTTGTATGGTCTCAAGCACCTTTATGCAGCGGTGTCGCGAGAGCTAATGTAGTGTCGTTCGGTCGAAGAGGATCCTCGCCGCACTCTCCTGGTTGATACACAAACTAATATATCTCAGTGTACATCCTATCCTTCTCTCGTAAATCTCAAGCTACAATACATGAGAATTCCACATTATACATCGGATTTTTGCGGCAGATGTGTTTCCTTTTCTAGCATGCTGTCCGTGAAATCATATAGTTCAATTTCGCGCCCAGTTGTGGAAAATTCTGCGCTTGTCTCAACCGCAGAAGAAGTCTCTTCTCCGTAAGCACTATTGATTGACAATTCCCTCAGATGAAACGTCAAGCGCGATAAAGAGATGGACGTGAGCCTAGATTCGAGTTAGAATCAATGCTACTAGCGAATAATCGGTGTGTACATACGCAGCGAGCCAGGCGTTCATCGCGAATGTAAGCTGAGTGTGAGTTGTCAGGTTAATCTTGGAACGAGCCAAACGCCGGACGTACAGCGCTAAATTTTGCGATAGCGATCGCAATGGCGTTCGCAACACAGAGAAACCTGAAACGTATGACACCATTCAGTCGACCGAACGGAAACGGGGACACTATGGGATCTACCGACGTGAAGTAGACACCGGCTGCAAGTATTGGCGGCATGTGTGGGGAAGGGGGGGTGGGGTCGATAAGCGACGGCCAGATTTAAGAGCGGCGACGTACAGTCCGTGAAGAGCGCCACGCTAAGAGTTGATGCCTGAAAGAGGCAGTTCACACTCCTCAGTCGATAGGTCTTCAGCCATGTCAACGACAGCACCAGTCCGTCAGATACGAGCAACGCGACTCGTGCGCCAATGATCCCTACCAAACACGAAAGTCAGTATAAGGGTCTCAACGTTTAAGACAATTCTCGTGTGTACATCTACAGAAAACAAATCTCAACTACGTTAATACATAATTACGCAAGTTCCTCACTTTACGATTGAGGAAGGATTTTCAATTCTTGCAGCACAGACCTGGTCTGTCTCGTACACGAACAGCCCCGGCGTTGTGGAGATGGAAACGCGCTGACAATCCTATGAGGATGTCCACAGAGAAAACAGGATGTGAGTTACTTACGACAGAAATGCACACATGTAGAAGTGCCAGACAAAAGACGAGCGCTGCTAGCCAGATATTCCGGTTGTAAACTGCGTAAACTCGAAGCGCGGTGTACACTAGAATATTGATGACTTAACGAGGTCCAGGCTGCCGTTGTGATATGTTTTACTCACCTGCTGCGCTGGACATAGTGATCACGTAAAGGATAACCTGTAACCTGATAACGACGTTGCAACTATACCGCGGGATCCGATAAGGACAGACAAGGGCGTGAATAAGGGATCTCTGACCTCTGGATTCACCGTGAGATATGAGAGGATAAATGCCAGCACGCTACGCACCGAATCCGATTGCCAGCTCGGCCAAGAGTGCAGTCCAAGGACAAGTAACACCGTGTTTATCAGAACAGGATACCGAAAGAGGCAAAACAGCACGGTGGTCAGGGAAAAGCGCATTCTCCAGATGTACCGGATCTCTTCACTGAACGTGAGGAAGTAATCATAGGAGCAAAAAGCTGGCTAGCGGTGAGATATATGCAGCGGCGATAACCTGTCAAAAAGTCAAACCTGCAGATGCACAGAAGATGCATGCAATGAGCGTGTCGCTGAGAATTCTGACAATCGTGAGCATGCCGTGATCCTGGCAGTGGCAAATGACGACCACAGACTCACTCGATGCTGAGCATGTCAGAACCTGCACTGGCAGCCTACAAAGCGTCAAATGGATTACACTTGCGTTGAGATACGGTTTCAAGGAGAATACTGTCCGGAGGGGGAGAGCTGTGCATTCCGACTGTTGGAATAATATGCGCTTGATTATATGTATCATGAGGACACTGAGGTGAATTCGTCACGTTCGTTGAAGCGGTCGAGCATCAAAAAGCTGTGGATCATCATGCGTCTCCCGTGGAGATGCCGATTTCAAAACGGGTGTCTGCACGCATTGCCTCTGAGAGGACCGCGTGATCGGGTACTATGAGCAAGACTGGCCTGTTCAGTCATGGTTTCCCAGCGCGGGTTTTCCAAGTCTATAATTGTAGTGTTCATCAAGACTCGCTTCCATGCGACCATCTTGCGAAGGCGGAGATTCTGGGCGTTACAAGAAACCGTCATCACGGCGACCTCTGCAACGATCTTCTTCCGGTCAGCATCACCCTTCAGAGCGTCTTGCTTCCGGCGATGTCGGACGCTTGGATATCCTAAGGCCTATGGTTTGATTATTCCCACAGACGTGGGCCTTGCATCATACTTATCACCATGCGAAGATGTGGCCACTGCTGCAGACTTGAAACTTGAACACCTGCCGCCGCGGATCTATCACACTGTTGATTGGCGCTGCTTCACGATCAGCTGAAGATTTTTCAACCTGAAACGGCATACGCAGATCAGATGTAAACTTAGGAGTCGAGTTCTTTCCAGGCAAGGTTACGGAGAACCATCCAGCCGACGAGTCGTTGGCGCCGGGCCACTCAAAGGCGATATTGAGTCGGCGCCTAACCGTCTTTCTGTGGCTCACTGCCATCTCAGCTGTCATCCGATGCGTGGATACGCCAATTTATTATTCGCTCACGACGCATTCTGTATTTTGATGCATTTCCATGAACGTAAACTTGCCGGATGACCAAAATAGATAAGCTCATAGTTATGATTGGACTGAAACGTTTTCCTGAACAGGTTCACTCGGATTCGGTGCATTGCTCGCGGACAAACTTCCATTAACACGGACTAAGCCATCAAACTGGCTATATATTCTCAACTCGTATCGACTCGATTATGGACAAAGGGACGATCCTATACCGGAGTCATGGGACGTCCTGCTATTTGTCTCGATGCTCCGGGAATGTGCCCCGCTATGCATCAAGTTCTTACAGCTAACTAGCAAGTGGTTTGCAAGAACGCGCGACCACAAATCGACACTTTGCACGGCTCTGCCGATGATGGCGCCTCGTCCCGCTTTACCACTTCTCCAGTCTTGTCCTCTCTCGGTCGCCGCTCGCATCTTGGCCAGCGGATGCTTCGCGATGTCCTCATCGAGAAAGTCAAGCTGTTCATGGCGTATGCGATCGCACACGAAGCTGGATACCGCCCGAAATGTAATTGCGACCGCATCCCAGACGCAGCTGTCATTCATGTGGCCATAGGCTTCTCTGGCTACCGCGGCATGACAGTGGTTGTATGCAGATCAGATGGACTCGCAGGAAATATGGAAGACGGGATGGTGAGCCACCGTTGGGAATGTTACCATCGCATTCGCAAAAAAACCAGCTCGGATGATGTGATCATTCCCATATACTATTAGCGAGGAAGGTCATCGCTGTTCCTTATTGTGGGCAAGGAACCGGTCGGAATTACTTCATGATCGTATTATACATTTAAGCACTAGTATAATATAATCAAACTCGGAAGCTTGTTGTAGCGGTTGTCCAGTCAATAAATACATTATACATTAAACATCACACTCATCAGTGACATATCCCCCATCGTCAACCTCAATCGTGCTATGTGACAGTACGCGCATCCTAATCGCATGACTGTCTTGGAACACTACTGTGCTTGAGACAGCAGTGGACATAGTGCTGTCCTTGCTGCTATCCTTACTGGACACCTCACGAAGGTGGAATAGGAGGCGCGATAGTAGAACGGAAGTAAGCCTGCAGTGATGACGGTGTCAGCAACTCGCGATTGTGCTTCGCACAACTGAGACGTACACTGCAAGCCAGGCGTTCATGGGGAAGATCAGCTATTGCAGATGCGTCAGAAAAGCGACAGAGCAGAGTATTCTTGAACATACGGTGTTTATGCTAGCGATGGCTATTGCTATCACGTTTGCAATGCAGAGCAAGCTGGAAGTTGAGAGTGCGTGTCGCCTGTTGAGCGCATCGCAGCAAGAGACATCTGGTAAACTTACCTGAAGTACACACCAGCTAAGTTCAAACCATCGTGGTTAGCAACCATCAAGGCTAAGTATACTAATATGCGTACAGCCAGTGAAAAGCGCCGCGCTGAGGGTTGTTGTCTCGAGCATGCGATCGGCGTTCCTCAATCGGTAGGTCTTCAGCCACGTCAAAGCCAGTACCAGTGCATCTGCGACGACCAATGCGATTCGTGCGCCGATGATCCCTGGAAAACGCACGACATCAAGCATTGTACGTGAGCTGAACGTTGCATACGCACATCTGGGAAACCCTGAGATCAGCTTTTTTAAATACCGATATCCGTTAGACCAAGACGTACTTCACGAGTGCTGCAGAGTTCTCGAAGTTGGCACCGCAGACTTGCTGCCCAGGGAAGACGTATAATCCAGGCGTAGTGAAGATCACAATGTACTCAGGAGAGTCTCAGCACATCGATGGCCGATAGCAGAACTGCTGTGATAGAGTCACTCACGATAGAAATGCATACGTGAAGAAGGGTGAGACTTAGGACGATCAGCGAAAGCCATATATTCCGGTTGTAGATGGCATAGACCCGCAGGGAGGTGAATACTGCCTTCACAGATTAGCGACCGCGGTGCACTTTTAAATGGGAAACCTACGCGCAGCACTCGACATAATGATGAGATATAGGACCATTTGAAACCGGATAACGATGGTACAGCTCCACAGGATGGTGAGAAGACTTTTCTCGAGTTAGTTTCCCTAGGTGCTCACCTCTGAAAACACAGTCAGCCTTGCGGTTAGAGATGTCGAGAATAAGTTCGTACATAGTCATTTTGCCAACTCCGCCATGACGGGAGACCAAGAATCAGGAACACCGTGTTCAGCAGAACAGGGTACCTAAAGCCGCAAAAGAGTACAGTAGTGAAGGAGAACTTGCTTTTCCAGATGTATTGGACCTCTTCGCTGAACGTGAGCAGGTAGTCGTAGGAACAGAGAGCTGCATGAGTATTAGAGGTGTGTAATTGTAGATGCGCTTCGTACGTACCCGCGGATGCGTAGTAAACGCATGTGATGAAGACGCCACTGAAAATCGGCACGAAAGTGAGAACGCCTAGTGCTGCATATAGAATACCGGAGATTCTCAACTTACTCCAATCGATATGTTTCCGACACAGCGCTGGCGGACATGCTGTTAAGCCGAGCTGCGATCACTGCAAGATATCGCCTCGAGGGGACGGGGCGCCCTCCGCTGCTCGTGTACGCGGCATTTATGCATCAGAGATATGCTGGCAAGAATCCGCGTTCGGTTCTCCGCAATATGGATCAATAGGATGAGGCCATCACGCATCTGCTGTCGCATGTCAAGATCGAAGCATGGTGCCTGCGCCCCACTGAATGGCAGTGAAAACCATAGGTTGCTGAGACGGGCTTGGGCAGCATCCTTAAGGAGATACGGGCTCTTACGGCAACTATCTCACAGGAAGCTGAGCCTGTACGGAGTCCGCCGAAATGCGTTCGCAAGCATGACAGCAGATGAGCCACTAGAGCTATTGAAAGCTTCCATGTTTTCCCTCCGTATAGTTCCGTAAATCCTGATGGGAGCCTCCTCGCTTGCGGGATCTCATTCCAGAGTCTATATCCCATCCGAAAGAAAGGAGCGCAAGCATTCTGATCTGGAGGGACATTGCCGATGTATTGCGAAGCCCAAACGTGAAGATTTGTTGAGTCGAAGCTTATTGATCAGAACAGCGCCTGGCCCAAGATGATCGGCCAGAAGCGGGCAAATCAAATAAAAATGTAAAGGGAACATTTGCTGGGTGCTGTGTGAGCAAGATGACTTACTTGGGAAACAAAATAAATGGTAGGCCGTGGCGGTGGCGCGGTCAAGGCAGCCCCTGGGAATTGGGCACATTTGACTGACCCTTTTGGCTTACGACAAGTCAGACGACCCTCCATGAGATTATACTGGCTTCTTTGTTGTCGGATGGATGCCATGCAATCTGAATTTCGTATCAGAAGTGGACTATAAGGCAATCTCCGCACCCCGAGCATTTGCAACAACGGCGGTGTGGCGGAGGGAAGTCGAGTCCGAAACAGGAAGGCAGCGCCTTTGGATCCTAACAAGATCAAACAAGCGTGTGGCTGAGACGCCGCCCATCACGGACGACGGCAACAGTGTCGAGACTCGACACCGCTTATCTACAATTCTTCATCTTTGTTATACCGCGAGAATAGATCATCAATCAATCGCTACTCTAAGGTGACGCGCCAGCAATCTGTCGCAGCGGCCTTGATTCGGCTTTGCCACCTTTAAAGTTCACTTCGCCGTAATTCTCGCGTTTGCATGAACTTCTGCCGTCTTGATATCTGCCCTTCACCCTGATTGATTAGCCAAAGTGGTGTTTCTTCGATATGGCAGGTATGGAACATCTCGTGTCACTCAAAGTGATGAGAGTATCGGTGCGCTTGCAGCTGATCGCCGGTTGCGTGTGGAGTTGACTGTCCATCCAGCGACCATCGCTTGCAAGTGCGTGGGAGCCTTTCTACTCGAGCTCTCCATCCTTCTCTGCCCATTCGACGAATTCAATCGTATCCCTTCAGGGAAAGACCGCTCTCCCGGGACACCCAAAGACTCTCCGGGATCTCAGTCATGTCACAGAAATGCTCATGCTTCCGTCGTCTTTCGGCTCAATCCAGCTCGGTGAAACGTTCACAAGTTGCCTTTCAGTGAATAATGAAGCAAGCGTGGACATCGAATTCGTCACGCTCACCGTCGAAATGCAGACAGCGTTGACAAAGACCCCTTTGGCTGAAATTGGTGGCGAGGGTCAACCACTCAGAGTGGGCGAGTCGCTGGAGCGTGTTGTTAGTCATGAGGTCAAGGAATTAGGCCAACATGCGCTGGCCTGCACGGTATCATATCGCCTTCCACCTGGCTCGCGCATAGCGCCGGGTACGGCCACCGATGTGAACGATCCCGAGCTGCAAGTCTTTCGTAAGTTTTACAAGTTTGCTGTGAGTGGTATTCTGTCAAGGCCAAAATATAGCTCATGATTTGCGCAAGCGTAGGTGACCAATCCTCTGTCGGTCAAGACCAAGGTCCACGTCCCCCGCGCCCCCACTGCTCTGATGTTTCGAAGCGAACGCGAAAAAGTCTTCTTGGAAATACACATCCAGAATCTGACGCAAGACGCGATGTGGCTCGAGCGAATGTACCTTGAGTGCGCTGACGGCTGGCAGGCACACAATGCTAATGCAGTAAGATCGAAAGACTCGGAAGGCAACGAGAGCATCTTCTCTGGCTCCATGGCACTCATGCAACCTCAAGACATGCGCCAATATGTTTACATTCTGGCACCCACCGTTTTGGCTCTCTTTCCTGTTACGCATCCACCCGGCAGTGTTGTGCCCTTGGGGAGACTAGACATCTCATGGAGGTCATCGTTTGGGGAGCCAGGGCGCCTATTGACATCCGTAAGCCATTGGCAGGATGTCTGTTAGCGAGTCTAATCATCACAGCCTAGATGCTATCGAGGAGGATACCACTCGTACAGCCGCCGCTTCCGAATCAAGGCCCTTCTCAGGCACCCCCGGTACCTAGCAAGCAACCTGCTTCCGCCATCCCACTTCATTTACAAAGGAGTGCTTCACTGGCAAACGCGTCCCCGCCGCGGCCGCACTCTCCTCAGCATATACAGCGACCATCGACACCTCCGGCGGGTGGAAGCGGGACCGCTCCCTACCGTCCAGGCTCACCGTTCCGCAATCGCGCAATAGGCCCTGCTGCGGCGCCTTCCAACACTGTTCTGCCGTCAAGCTCTTCTACTCGTCGCCGGGTGGACGTCGAAGTGGACTTGGTCGTACGACATATTCCACGAGAGTCGATCAAAATAGAGAAACCATTTGCAATCGCATTCACCGTAAATGTCTCTGCCCCAGTGCCCACCCCTCGTCCGGGTGACACGTGTCGTGCGCGGGTGCTGTCGCTCGTTGTACAGCATGTACAGCCTCCGCGGGGGATTACAGCCTCAGCCCTTCCGACCAGCGACACGGCAACGGCTAGAAGTGAGCTCTTTAGCCCGCCGGTGCTTTCGTCGGGCTTTTCTACGCCGTCGCCCAGGAGTACTCCGCATCGCGCCGACTTCCAGGATTCCCTGGCGCAGAGACTACGCGTTGCATCGCCCCGACGTGGACAGCTGGATGAGGAAGACTCCCGCGCGAACACAGACGGAGACGCTACTCCTCCAGCGGCAAGCGACGTTCGCACCGGCGATGAGACCGTTATTCTACCTCCTCCATACACGCAAGATGACTTCACGGATGCGAAGACGCCCGTGCGACCGTCAAATGTCGTCTTTTCCGGGGTATCTGCAGTCTTTTTGCCACAAATAAGGTTGACCGCGCCGGAGGGCTCCGTTGCTGTAATTGAGCCGGCGATGCCTATTCACGAGAGGAACATTAGCACTAGTACCGCAGGCAGCGCGGCGGACAGCGAGCTCGAGAATATGGCCGGGAGAGCGACAGTCAAGGTCATGACGTCGCAAGACTTCGAGCTGTCTTACATTTCGCTGCGGGGCGGGTTCAGCACTATTGGTGGGCTGCGCGTTGTGTTGGTCGAGGATAGACTGGTCGAGGAGGGTGAGTCGAGTGATGGGGCAGGGACGACACATTATATGACGGAACCGCGGGTCTTAAAAGAATGGGGCGTTGTCGGCGAACTATGGGTAGAATCATAAGCAGCAGTGCCGTTTCCGGCAGTGTCCCCCGCCTTCGATGACCTCACAAATCGAAATCATCTATAGGGAAGGAGGAGGCTGTAAGGTCGTGAGCGGAAGTAGATTCCCCGTTGCTCTCTATAATAAGAGCCTGGAGCGATGTACTCTCGCTGATGCCAGAGTCCATGGTCATCGACAAGTGCTGGCGTTGATTATTGAGACGATTATTCCATGTACGATTGCTTTTTTGAAACATAGAAAGAAAGTAAAGGACCGCGATTGTAAACTGTATGTCACACCTGTCACAATCCTTCTCAGAACATGAAGCGTGCATTGACATCAGTCACGCGTGACACCATGTCTTGTACCCGAGCCCGTAAGCGAAGACGTACGGAAGCATTGCAAGAGTCCACCAACGAGAATGTAGACCCATCGTACGTGGCGGAAAAAATGAGCCCGAAGGACGATATTCCCGAAATGCCGCTGGAGGAGGTCGTGGAAACAGCCCCTGCTGTCGAAGCCACCGTGGACGAGCCGGCTCAGCCACAGGAGAGATCCGCGAAAGAGCAGGAGATTTGGGATGCTTTCAAAGAGGAACATTATGAAGGTGAGCATGCCAGCTATGTCTAGAGAGCCTATTTGACATGTCTCGTGTGTAGTTCTCGAGCAGTTGCCGCTATCCCTCCACCGCTCCTTTGCATTAATCCTCGAGTTAGATCAACAAGTACACAGTGGGTGCAAACCAATGATGTCATAGTTGCAGTCTGACAGTGCGATTTCCTTCTTCAGATCACCAAGAAGAGCTATTACCCACTCTGCTCCAGTACATCTCGGTCAGGAAGAGCTTGGAAACTGGACAAACCAAGGGCGAGCTACCACAACAGGTTAGCAATGGAGACAGCACTCAAAATCCGCCACCTGAAGGACCAACACCCACCGCTGCAGAGCATGATAAGCCGGTTGTGTCGTCTCGGCAACTGTTGATGAAAGCTGCGCAGTTATCCGAAGAGATCGTGCGTGCGTCCAATGAGAAGGTGCATGTCGCACGATTCACGTACGACTTGGTGAGTGGTATCTGTTTCTATATTATGTGCGCAGCGTGAACCTGGTTGTGTAGGTGGACCGGTATATCCGCGATTTGGATCGCGCTATCAAGGAACAGGAAACGTCGATATCTCTTGGTCTTCGCCCTGGGACGTACCCAGCGTCCATAGCTTTGCCAGATTCCATGCTTCCGCCGAGCGTCTCTGAGTCGCTCGCTCTACAGCTCCCACAGCCAGAACCAGCAACCGCCATGAAGGCGGACCTTCTTGCACCACAAGCAGCTCCTGTTGAACCGCAGGAGCCAACAGTGGAAGTGCAACGCGAGAAGTCGCCTGTCCCTGTACAGCTAGCGGCGCTCGGACGTCTGCGCAGAAGAAAAGGCAACGGCTGGGGCAGTTCAAAGAAGAGGAAACACACGGCAACTTCGGTTGAGTTGGGCATTAAAACGGATGCGGCGGCTGTCGCTGCTCCTACAGGGCTGAAGCTTGTACTGCCGCCGTTGGGTACGTCTCAATTGGCGATGAACGCGAGCGACCTGCCTATTGACCCGAACGAGCCGCGCTATTGTTTCTGCAACCAAGTGTCGTATGGAGAGGTACGTGCGAGCTCAAGAAGCTGTGGCGGTCGTACTCATCGGGACTTCGTGTAGATGGTAGCATGTGATCGCGAAGGGTGTGAACGCGAATGGGTGCGTAGTCTCACATCGTGCATGTTGAATTATCATTCACGGCGCCTGCGTCCTCAGTTTCACCTCGGTTGCGTCGATCTCAAGGAAGCACCTCCCAAAGATAAAGAATGGTTCTGTCGGGTATGTGAGCCGATTGTCAAGGCCGAAAGGGAGGGCAAGAAGCTCGGCAAGGGCAAAGAGAGAGGAAAGAAGGTCCATTGATGTCTACCTATTGAACCGAGTTCTTGCTATTTCTTCGCCACACGATGATATCGATCAATTTGTAGCAGTAATATGACACACATATACCTAGGAATACAGCGAATAGTACAATGTTACAGATCCGAATCCTCCTTCAATAAGGTTCATACGCTTGTCACCTGCATACCGAGCTTGTTGGCCAATGTCTCCATGTAAACCTCTGTATTCCCGTCAGAGCAAGCATCATTTAGCGAGTATGTTTGGCTCACCAGTCTCGTGTCGCAATCTCCAGTATTCCGCCAAGAGTTCATTGAGCTCCGCTTGGCTCTTCTTGAGGTGCTCCGCCATCTGCGAAACGCTGTCAACAAGTGCACATGCATGACATAACCAGCACACAAACCTTGCGCTCAATCGCATCCGCCTCCGCGCGGAGCTCCTCCACTTGCCTGTCGTTATCCCGGCGTTCGACCGCCATCTCCTCGTACTCGCGCTGTAGCCGCTCAATCGTCTGTTGGCTCGCGAGTCGTTTATCCTCGGCGTGCCTTTGCGCACGTTCGAGCTTTTCCTGTGCGTTTGCGAGCTGCTTCTTGACCCGCTGTGTGTGACGTCAAGCATTCATGAAGTAAATGACAGTTCTTAGCGATCCAGAGGTGAAACGGACCTCTCGCTTCATCTCCAGCTCAGTCCGCTCGCTCTTCTTCTGGTCTAGTTGGTCTCGCAAGTCGGACAGTTCCTTTTGGGCAGCATCGAGCGCATTGGCCTCTTTCTCGATCATCTGCAATTGCTCCACACAAGAACGCACATCCTACACCACCTTTCATTCAGCGTTACGTCAATCAGTGGCAGATCCTAATTGCACCTTCTCGATGTTCAGAAGCGCCGCGATCTTCGTCTGCAGATCGCGGATCTTCGTCTCGTGCGCGTTGACCGTGCGCTTCTCCTCGGCGGCTGTCGCGCTCATGCTTGTGATGTTGCGCTTGATGCGCTCCGGCGATTGCACAATCCTCCCGCGTGTCCGATTGATCTTGTCATTAAGCACTGCCGTCTCCTTGTTCACGCCTTCCTACTCGAATCAAAAAAAAATGTGATGACGGTGCGTTTGGTTTCGCTTGGACTGACGTGCCTTGCTTTGCAGCACCGATTCAATTTCCCGCTTGAGAGTCTCCAGGTCTTTGAGAAGGGATAGCTGCGTTTCCTTGTACTGCACGAGCTGTGCGGTCATCGAAGTCTTCTCTTGACGCAAAGCTTCGCACTTAGGCTCGTCCTCTGCACGTTTTGCCCTTCTCGTATTAGACTGACGAGCTCTTGCTCCAGTTGTGATCCACGTACTTGATTGTCACTACCTTCTGGCGCGTCTCCGCCAACTGCTGGGCCACCCGATCCCGCTCCTCGACGACAGCCGCAGACCTCTCGCGGAGGCCCATGATGAACGGCTCACACTGTTCGCAGAACTTGACAAAGTTGACAAAGGCGGATAAGATGGAGCGCGTTCGTTCGGGTTCGGGGAAGTACAGGTCCCGTGAACTGAAGCCGTGGAACTTGGCCGCGGTGGCGAAACGTTGGCTGGGAGATGTCACTTGCCTTGCACATATGCATATTACGAAGGGCTCACAGATGATGGAGAAGGAGGACTTTGGGTAGGGCTTGGGTATATAATTCCTGCGACAAAGATCATTATCAGGTCTTCGGCTTAGCAGAACCATAGCGACTGGGAATGCCGTAGACATGCGACAGTTTCATCAGAGGCATCGGAGAGCCATTATTGACGCGAGAGACCACTGCCTTCATTTAGCATGGTATCACGTCAACTCCGTGACCATTAGATGATCGAAGTACCGACGCATGGGCAGCGCTGCAGTCGAATGTGTACTCACAGGATTGTCCACTGTAGCCAAAGCCGCGTCCACAGAAGGCTGAAGCGCGTCCACGGTGATCCCAGTGACTTGTTCCAGACAAGTGCTGTAAATGCCTAAGACGAATTCAGGCGTCGGTCGCGCGACTTGTTCGTGGCTGATTGCATAGCCCCAACCCGAGAACGCGTCGACGATCTCTGCGATAGACATCGTCGGAAACGAGAACTGCCCAGCCATGTTGGAAAGAGACAAATAGCACGAACAGTCTGAGAGTTCGAGTGCGAAGTTTCAACTCAACGAAGCAAACGCGGTCGCGACATGAAAGCACGCACGCGGAGTGTTTACGATCACGTGAGAGACGCGAAGCGTGTATATCGCTGAATTCACGCGCTTCTTTCCCATTAGGTTAGTCTTTCGCCTTGCTCTGTACCCTACCACATCGTCCGAGGTTCCTTCTGTTATCCTCCCCGTTCAATACCCTCTGTGCGATGTCAGGTCCCAGGAATAACCTGGACGACCTGCGTCGCAGGCAAGCTGTCGGCACCCCGGCGTCGAGCCCGAAACCGGAATCATCGACTCAGCAGAAGGTGCGCGATGATATCGTTGAGGTCGAAGGAGTGCAGTTTGAAGACTTGACACTCCCCAAATGCAGTTCTCCAGGTTCAAGCCGTCGAAGTCGTTTAGCACCTCTGATCATGTAGCAGGTGCGTCTCATCAGCATTATCGGCAGGTGCTCGCGAGCCGATCGTGTATTGCAGTTCGCACACCGCCCGGCGGTCTACCCTCCTTTGCGACACCTGGGTTTGGGAAGAAGAAACCCGCACCACTGCGAACGAATATGGCCGCAGACAACAGCATCCCCATCATCGACGTCTCTTCCGACGAATCCTTCTCAGCCAAGCCACCGACAGCCCATGTCCCGAACAAACGGTTATCAGTCGAATCCTCATCTGATGCTGAGAATGTACTGCCTCCAAAGCGCGTCAAGGTGGAGTCGCATCAGAAGGAGAATGAGCGGCCCTCTGTAAGGGACAAGGGAAAGGCGAGAGAGGTTCCCTCTCGCATCACTAATTCACATGGAGATGGAAACCGTGAGTCCTCTCCAGCCAGATCAATCCCACATGCAACCGTCTTGCCTGCTACCGGATTCGCCCGTACGACCTCGACGCCATTCTTGCCAATAGATCATTCGGACTTGTTCTCGGTGCGTACTTTCCAACATTATATGCAGTGGTGTTCCAGTCGTTACATGACCATCTGACACACAAGCGCTACACATTAAATTGCATCAGAAAGCCTGATTCATTGTTCATCCACCGGTTCATCTGCCCTTCCACTGCTTCAGCTACATACCCAAAGGCTCTCTGGTGCAATTTAAGAGTATCATTGTGTAGTCTGACCCTTTGATGGGATCAAAGGGTCTGATCCCATAGCCGGTTGATGTCAATGGTCGATGTGGGACTCATTTTAAATGCGTGACGGTGCCTGCGCTCTAGCTTCTCGCAAGGTGGCGAGAGATGCTGCATCTGTATGATGGGCCGAGGTGCTTTTGGTCTCGCATTTGCTGTGACCCTCTGACCACAGCGAATGGGTCCGACGTCATGGACGGCTGTGACTGGAGATGAATATCGGTCAAGAGCGCCACCGACTATACATGAATTGACCGTGCTTTCTAACATGCTGTGCATAGAAATCTGTCGAAGATCTTATAATGATAGCGGACAGCAACCTCAACCTCCGGGCGCAGATACACGAGCGGTTCGCACAATACAGCTCAGGCGAGGACCGAAGTCATGACTTCGCCTTGCTTCAGCAGATCGAGTAAGTTCCTTCAACGATCTTTACATAAATACCCACACCCTTGTCAATACCAATTTCCTATCAGCAAGCTTTTGTCCTACCGGAATGAGTGCATCAGGGCGGTAAAGTCAGCGCGGCATGACCACCGGCAGCCGAATCTACCGAACCCTTCGTGGCATGCTGGTGCCGCCGCTCAGCCCCTTGCTCCTGTCATTCGCGCTACATCTCCACCGGAGGTCAAGAGAGAGGATGACTCCCCATTTGCTTCAGCATTCACCAACGTTCCGTCCACTCTGTACCCGACTGCCGACACCTCTTATACGTCCGACCCGGCCTCCACTATCACATTCGTCGACGAGATCAGCTCGACTGCAAAGACCGTCGACCCGCATGATGTAGAAGACGACGACGATCTGTGGGGCAAGGTCGACGACTTTCCCGCCGACCGCCTCGAGGAACAGCTGGCCCCGAAACCTACGGGCATGATCTCTCCCTCAGTCTCACATCCCAAGATAGATATCTCTTCTTCGTCATCGCTGCCTGCCAAGCAGGATGATACATTGCTCAAGTCGCCGTACTACACCGAGATCATGCAGAAGCTGCGCAGCGTCTTCGGTCTCGAATCCTTCCGCACGAACCAGCTCGAGGCGATCACCGCGCTGCTCTCCGGACAGGACTCAATGGTGCTCATGCCCACGGGCGGGGGCAAGAGCCTGTGCTATCAGCTGCCCGCGGTGTGCGAGGGCGGCAAGACGCGGGGCACGATAATCGTAATCGGGCCGCTGCTTGCGCTGATGCAGGACCAGGTGGCGGCGCTACAAGACAAGGGCGTCGACGTCGCGTTTTTCAACTCGGAGCAGACGCACGAGGAGGTGAAGGACGTCTGCCGGCGGCTGGTCCATCCGATCAAGCGGCAGCGTCCAAACCTGCTATACGTGACTCCGGAGAAGCTGAAGCACAGCTCCGCGTTGATGTCGATATTGAGGCAGCTATACACCGAGAAGCACTTGAAAGGATATGTGCTTGATGAAGGCCACTGTGCGGTCAAGTGGGGTCGGGACTTCCGTGATGCGGTGGGACATATATCTGCTCGAGTTTGCTGATCTGCTCACACCACTCTGATCGCAGTACCGGTTCCTTAACTGTCTCCGCCAGGACTTCCCGGGCATTCCGATCATGGCCCTGACCGCGACGGCGACGGCGCACGTGAAGCATGACCTCAAGCATCTCCTGCGGATCCCCCATTGTGTCGAGTTCTCGCAGTCGATGAATCGCCCGAACCTGAACTACGAGGTGCGGCCGAAGAAGAAGATGGTGCTTCAGGAGATCGCACAGTTTATCAAGGAGAGCCACGCCAGGGAGACCGGGATCATCTATGCGCACAGCCGCAAGTCGTGCGAGGAGATCGCGTACAAATTGAGGGAAGAACATGGTCTCGATGCACGTCACTTCCATGCCAAGGTGGATTCAAGGGACAAGGCGGAAACATTAGATAGCTGGAAGACGGATGCATGTCAGATAATCGTTGCGACAGTACGAGTGTTCATTAAGGTACCTGCGAAAATATAGCTGACAAATACATTGCCCAGATCGCGTTCGGTATGGGTATAGACAAGTCAGACGGTATGCTTCGCCGTATTTCGGAGTAACGTTCTCTCACCTCTGTTGCAGTGCGATTTGTGATCCATCACGACTTGCCTGGCGATCTCGACGGGTATGTCTTTTAGATTTCATACTCTTCCCGCTCATCTCACCAATAAATGCACAGCTACTACCAAGAGACAGGACGAGCTGGTAGGGATGGGCAGCCTGCTGATTGCATTTTGTGTGAGTCCGCATCCTTATCTGATGCTCAAATCCAAGCAGAGGATGACACGCTACACGTTGCAGTCTACCAATACAGAGATGCCACCATCAGGCAACAGCAAATCCGCGACAACAAGGATATCAATGAGACTGAGAGGGCCCACCAAACCGACGAGTTGCGCCGGGTCGTTCAATTCTGCCAGAACAACGTCGACTGTCGGCGGATGCAGGTTCTGGCATACTACGGAGAGAACTTCGATATAGCCATCTGCCGAAACGGTTGCGACAACTGCCGTAATCCGCTCGACACGGAGGTTGAAGACGTCACCGAGACGGCGGTGCAGATCATACAGCTTGCTCAATCGCTCATCACCGAAAGCGGCGAGTGGGTCACGCGTAATCATTTGGTTGACATCATCAAGGGCAGTGCAGCGCAGCAAATCAAGGCTAAGGGGTGGAACAGCCAGTCTTTGTATGGATTGGGGAAGGACATGTCCAAGGAGCGTATTGAGCGGCTGGTCGATCGCTTGGAAACGGAAGGCGTCTTCTGTCAGACCACTGCTAGGAACGGGGGCGACTGGTCTCAGTCGTATATGCAGGCAAGCATCTGAAAGCCTGCCATTTGGCGTGTGCTGACTGGTTCATAGGTTACGTCAGAGGCAGATGCGTTCGTCCGCAAGCGGACAAGGATGACAATGAAGTTTCGTGTAGCTCATAGCAAGCGGCCTACCGCCAGCCGTTCTACCAGCCGGAAGCAGCCATCCTCCACAGGCGGGAGGTACAACGAAAGGAACCGGTCCACGAAGGAAATTTATGAAGACGAAGATCCAATTTCGCTCTACCAAGAAGATGATAACGGCTACAGTGTCAGGGAGGACATCTGGGCGATGCCCAGCCCCAGAAAGGCTGGCGAAAAATCGAAGCCGAAGATTGATCGGAAGGCATTTGCGGAGGATGTCATTGTCATTGATGATGATGGCAGTGAGCGTAATGAGTCCAATAATCCGAATCTCAACGAGTTCAGTAGATTGCGTGTAAAGGTGGGTCTCTCATGCTGTGCACGTCACTTCAGAGTTTACAATGGTCCCAGATCGCGGTGGAGCATGACCTACATCCTGGTGACGTACTTGCAGATGAAGCTCTCTTTATGTTGAGCTTAGAATGTCCCAACGGTTCGTTCATCTTATTTTCTTCACCTCATATGCCGTGCCTGATTCTATATATATATATATATATATTAGATATCGACTCTTTCAATGCCAGTCTCTTAGACGTTGGAGTAGACTTACAAGCCTTCCAGCCTTACGCGAACCGTTTTCTGGACCTATGCATCAAACAACACGTCAATTTGCATGAGTCACACGAGTAGGTCTCCCTTCACCGTAATATCTATACGCAGAATCACAACTACGGACATATCCAGGAGTTCCACTCGGCAACAAACTTCCATTACTGCTCTTCATCAGCGCTATGAATACCAGAACAGTTCGAAGCCGTCGTCTTCCAGGAGATGATGAGAATCACGTTATTGCGCTCTATTATGCGGAATCTATGGCACAGGGAAACGGAATGCTACAATATCGTTATGCTAGATCTTGGATGTATAATACAGTAGGTCCAACTTATGTGTCGTTACCTGTAACAGTCAAAAAATACTATAACTATGACAAGCGCCATCTCAACGCTATCGCATTGTATCTTCGGATATATGAAGGGAATTGTGGTATCTAGCGGCAAATCTGCGAGACGTTACGTGATCCTTCGAGCAAATCGTCCTCTGAGCAAATCGTGAAAAGAGCTGCATAGGAACAATCAATCCGGTGTAAGTCCATGAGGAAGCCCAAGGCACGGACTGCCTAATCAGACCTCTTCCCACCTGAAAGTACTGTACCATCCATTATCCCCGTCCTCCTCCGGCAAACTCATCATCGACAAATGTTGTTCGTGCGTCAGCCAAGCCGATGTCCCGAACAACCGTCCGGTATTTTCAAGCAACTCCTCCAAAATGACCACCATGTTCTTGAGGACCTCTTGCTCTGCGAACGCATAGACCAGCGATAAACCCATTGCATACGCATCTTCCTCTCGAGCCTGTCTGATGCTATCTTGGACGTGATGCTCGAGATTCTCGAGAGCGTGCTTGGGTGAGGGTATGAATTGCGGGAGCGGCTCGCGTGCACGGAAGGCATGCTGACATGCGTAGAGGGTGATGCAAACGCAAGACATCTGAAGAGCAAAACAAGTAAGTCAGGATCTCCCGTCATGAAACAAACTACACCACACGTACAAATTCTCGTCGTTCGTTGAAGACTCTTGCAACAGTCTCTCTGCGGGGTATATTCTCTCTGATCTTACGCAGACCGGTCATGACGTCCAGGAATTTTTGCATGACGGTCACAGTTTGACGATAATGCGCCAAGGGTTTCTGGTCAAAGCGTCACCATATGCAAACCGTACAAGGACCTGAGGTGCTCACCGGAAGCAAACTGATTTCATCGTGCATAGTCGTGATAAGGACAGACAGACGGTAAAGGCTGTTTCGTATCTCAAGCTCGAGCTTGAGCATCTTGTGTCGTTCCGGATGCTCGAATGCGGGCTGCTTCCGGAATATATCACTGAATAAATACGCATGAGTAAACTGGTGTGGAATCAACAGCGCTCGCACTAACTGGCCGAGAGTCATATACAGCTGGCTGAGCAAACTGAGTGTCCGACTGGTGTCGGAAAGAAACACAACCTAAGACTGAACGTTGAGAACGACGAACACTGGTAATTTCTCACGGCATACCCGGCAATGGCGCGGAAACACCAAACTGTTCATCAACAATGCGCCAACAATACCCACTGCAATCATCAACGCCCTGATTGCAGCGAGTTCTATCGTTCCCACTTCAGCATGCTTTCGGATAGAAAATGGCATAAAATTGCGCTCACTCAAGACGGATTCAGAGGGATCAGGATCCACATACTGCGCGAAAGCGATGATCGGCAATGTAACCGCGCTATACGTTGGTGAGCGATGAGCATGAAAACCCGTCATGCTATATCTATGCTTACGCAGGGACGGCTAATGGCGTGAGGGTGGTTTTCGTTACCATCCAGGTGAACGGAATGTCTGCAGCCTGCAATCCGCATCTTACTATCATGAAACGCCTCCACACTTAACCGTTAACACATACCGTAACCATTACCGTGAGGCCATATGGGTTCACGTGGCAGATGAGCCACGTCTGTGATACTTTCATTAGCTAAGGATAGGGAAGAGCACTGAAGCCTTCTCACAATATAAGCATATATGGCTGCCAGCGTGGTGCCGACCTGTCTTCAGGTCAATTCAAAGCCTTCTGCATTCCTCAAGGCAACTCACAAGGCGGAGATATCCCATCCTCCACGTAGCTCCTGTATTTGTCTCAAGAACCCATACATAACTGATCGGCGATGAGCGAAATTCAGATGGTGAATTGGCAGAACGCACCTGATCGCCATCCACTGTCCATGCCAGGAGGAGAACCACTTGAATCCTGGACGTACCGTCAGCCGACTACACATCAAAAACATTGCAAGCATATCGATGCTTACCTCGGGAATCGGGAGGCATAAAGGCCGGAAAACATAGAATGGCAACACCAATAGCATTCTTTATCGCGTGGTGCAGATGATTTGAGTGTAACACGGCCCGGTTGACTCTCGCCGTCATAATCCTGAATCGCAGCATCCATGGCAGCGCCCATAAATCTGCAAACGGTGCCGACAAAGACAGCCAACACGAGCGCTTCCGCTTCCGCTTGCCATCGACGTTCTCCTTCGTCAATGTCGAGTAGCTCAATCCACTCGGCAACCGCTTCTCACCAATTGTGTACCCCATCTCAGCGAGCGCCTCGTGTGTCTCAGTGGTCGTTAGATTGACGTCCGCGTCTTCCGTCCAAGGTGTATGGTCCACACTCGCACGGATTTGCAGCGTCGCATCGCGGTCGTCACTGATAAGTGCTCGCGGAGGGACGCCCAGCCATGAAAGGCTGATGTGAGGGTACCAGAGGCGCACGTGGGACTCTTCATACTCGTTGTACATACGCTCGGCAATCTGCAGCGCTGTCCGCATTTCGTGGGCCATCTGAGTGAGACGTCAGAATCAGCACTTCAATCTAGCATCGACAGGAACTGGCAAACCTGTAAAAGCGCAATCATCGTGAGACTGCCATCGAGCACTTCCTTCGGATAATAGTCGACGTTCTTGGCCAGTGCTCTGCCTTCCAGATCCATCTCATTGAATATATTTCCGAGCCGCTCGCGCGCCTCGTTTCGCGCTTTGACCAGAGCCTGTTCCGCTACTCGTATAGAGTACTTCACGGAGCACGCCTTCAAGGAAGCGGCGCGTGCGGGATCGCCGGGCGGGAACGAAGACTGGTCTTGATCATACGCAACGACGATCAACAGCTCTACGGAATGCATGGCGGAGATAATCGCATGCCCGAGAGACAGCGCCGGGGCTCGGATGGCGGAAATAAACTTGTCGTGCGATGGCAGCGTAGCGCGATGTCGGATGCGGTGAGCTGAAGACCGACGAGATGCAGAAGGTCGACGAGAGGAGGCCCGGCTGAAGCCGGGAGACTGGGGTTGCAAAGTAGACATTCCCCATGCCAGTTCTCGGCGAATATGCTCGACGATGCCTATCAGGGGTCGAACGGCCTTCACTATATGGATGTAAGATTGGGAACAAGCTATGTAATCGTGGATAGCTTACAGCTCAGCCGTCCGAGGCGCAGCTCGAACGCTGCTTGGGAGTACGTCTCATTAAGCATGATCGACTGTTTGAACAGCTGGTTGCGCAACGAAAGATACTCCGCGGGATCTGCAGCTATATCTTTTTGCTTTTCCCCCAAACCATTGAGGCTTATAGATACGCATCGGGCTAGTAGAGCAAATGTTCTTGCCATCTCCCTCTCGAAACTGGAAGCGGACCATCGGAGTACGGACATGACGATAAGCAGCGCGACTAGGGCGAGGGAGGCGGGTGCGAGCGTTGCGTAGAGAAAGTACCCTGAATCAAGCAAAACTCTCTGGGTTGTGTATGAACACACATGTGATATGTCGACATCATGCACACTCACCGAGGAATCACCTATGTTGATAGTGAGCAGCCAAATAGAGACGAATAGCGAGATGCGCATGGACAGTGTCAAACGAACCAGTCTACTTTTGATGAGGCCAGCTGAAACAGACATGATATTACACTGTCAGTCGCATGTAGGATGGTTGCTGCCGTGCTGGGGTGGATTTACCAAAGAAGCTGATTGCTACCAAGAAGATAGCACACGCCGCTCTTGACCTGGCGCTGTCATCAGGGGTCAAGGAGGCAATGTACTTTCCAAGGGTAGAGAAGCCAATCCCGCACAGAGCACCGATGATGTTCAAGACGGTCAATTCCAGCTGCTGGGCGAGACTCTCCTGTACGCTGAAGATCAACGCCAGGAAAGGGAGAACCAAGAACGCGTAGGCGCCACCCAAATGTGCTACAGGACGGATAACTATGGCCAAACAGCACAGAAATGTCGAAAGCAGCCTGGCCAGAGGTCGCCTTTCGATGAATTGGGCAGCGAAGTGAATGAGTGAATTTGATGTGTGTACGAGCCATCTTTTCAGCTTCTGAAGATCCAGCCGCATTTTCGGAGTGTCCGCTGCCAGGGGAGGAGGAGAAAATATGTGCGCCAAAAGCTCATAGTTTTGTAGAAAGTCGCAAGCGGGTTGTCACGCTCGCAGGAGCAATCTCATACATTCCGAGTCGGACCTCCCTCCTCAATCATTCCTGCATTATATTGGCGCCCACCCCTTTGGATAGCCGAAAGCGGAAATTCCCGGCGGTGCTCGTACATTCCCAACCAGCGAGCGCTGAAAATTCGTCCCGAATGTCGCAGTCGACGAACGGATCATACGCATATGCGAGACAGTGATTGCAGCATCGTGCGAGTCTAACGGATCAAGCAGGAGCGACGCTCACTTGCGATGGCATCCGTCGTTCTCCATTAAGTGGTAAATCAGACATTCGCATCAATTAAACACTAATGGCACCAGGTCTCACGTCGGTCACTGTACATGTCCATGCGAATATTCAACGCCCATTCAGTTGGAGTCGGAGCGCGCCGAGGCGCCCTTGACTATGACGGGACAGCGTTGATGAGACTGTTCCACCGGTGCTGCACCAGAGATACGCAGGCCAGGAACGAAGACAATCCCAAGGGGATCCAGGATGCTAACCTACAGCCGGAGTTTGGCGCTTCTGCAGGTCCGCGCGAGACCGTTCCGATGTAGAATCACTGTTGTCCCTGCCCAAAAATCAGCGCCGCAATCCGGCAGAGGAGGCTCCCATCGAGAAGTGGTTGTAGTCTTACTCTTCCATGCAAGATATTCTGTATCAGCGGGTCGTATGAGTTGTTGATTATCACGTGGAAGAACGCCTGAAGGCACAACGATCGTGTTAGTGAAATGCTCTCATTATATCCGGACACGAAATCATCGACGCACCGTGAACACTATCAGCACTATCATCAATGCTCCCTTCGAAATCGCACTAGCGTGCTTGCTATCGTCCTGACTCGGCCCTGGCACATGTCCCTTTTGAATCAGAGGTTCTTTGACAGAGTGCAAACCTCCACCATTGGTCGCAATGTGGTCAATCATGTGTTCTTCCCCAGTTGCGCTTTCGTATTCGCGCCTTGGAGGCTCGATTCTGTGCTATTATTGTTCAGGCAGAGAGAAGCAATGCAGAGAAGCGCGAGCACATAACAGAGGCGTGTAGTAGGCGTGAACGCATGCACTATGGAATAAGGTTTGATGCACGAGCAGACAACGTTACAACGCTCATCAATGATTGATGAACGTGGACTACCGCACCCTGCACCCTGCACTGTCAAGCGCTTTGTAAGTATGCCTGTCTTTGACCACTGGATGATGGCTCTTGAATTCTTCATTCGACATAGACGACATGGATAGCTTTCTGCCTCCTTCCAATGTCATTCTTCAGAGGCAAGAAATCAGCACTACGGTACGGGGCATGCATGTATATCTCTGATGCCAATGCTTATGCTACGGACGTGTAGCCAGCGCCCTCATACGCTCGAACCTGTCTGCTTGAAGCCTCCAGACGGCCAGGAAGTCCTGGTTTCAAGGCAGCTGGACACAATATTATATGACCATAACGTCGAGGTTCTCCATCACGTAATCGACGTATATTTCGTCGAGATGCGCTGGGTGGAGGTATCCGCAGACACAAATGATTTGGACACACGCATGCACGTCAAGCGCACATTCACTACAGTCGCAAATCCCTCAAGGGCAGACTGTAGAGCTGCGCTGAGCAGCCTCGCACGGAGGATCGTTGCGGACAGCGCGTTCAGCGCGTCCACGTGGACCCGGTCCTCGCAGGCCACCTCCGCTGAGTACACCCTCGACCTCCAGCCACACACGACTACGCGGATCTATGAGCGCGTGTTCGTGTTCCGCGTGCACGAGTGGTTCTGCTCCGATGCGCACAGTGTGCTGTGGCGGGTAGGTGAGGAATACGACACCTTGACGAACAAGATCTATGTGCCTGTGCACACGAATCAATTCGCCACACGTACCACGAAGATGGAAGGTGAAGGGGTTATTGATGTTGCAAAGGCATGCGACCATGTGGGTGGTAGATGGGACAACGTAAGACCCGCACTGTTGCGCGATGCGACTTCCAGGTGTAAGGAGAGTTTGAGTGGCCAATCTGGTAAGGTGCCATACTATAAGTAAATGGCAGTACCCATGGACTATAGAGTTTTCTCGCTTGCATATTAGCTATTGACATCTACTTCATGGGAGGTGTGCTCCGTGGAGGCACCTATACACAAGAATACCCCGGATACAGCGACGCAATTGCAGCTTGCCGACACAAAGGTCGTAAATGCAAGAAAAGTTGCCTTGAAGGTCCTTGTTGAAATGGTGGTAATAATCTCAAGGCGACGGCCTCAGCTCAGAGCCGGCCTTCTGTTCCGCGACCGTAAAATACACATTCCATACGCTACGATACGGACAATCGGCGCGTCTGCGTTTTGTACGCATGTCGACGAGTAAACTTGCTCGGATTCATATGGAAGTCTGTAGCGGAACGCGACGAAACCCCGATTTCCTAGATGCCAGGAGGCCTTGAGTGGCGCTGATCGTCGATACTGAGTCTACGTGCGGGATCCATGCTCCTCCGAGTCCTGTCCAATCTTTTCCTCGATCTGTGTCCTCTAGCTTCATTACGTCTGCTGTATAGTAATTGTTTGAGTCATGGGGGTTGCGCTCGGACATACCAAATTGGGATAATACCTCGACGTCTAATCCCTCTTCCTCTTTAGCGAATGGACAGATTGATGCAATTTGTCATCGAACCAACGGTGAGTGACCTTGTGCGATCCAGAGTTTTGAGAGCAGGTTCATTTGCAGTCGAAGCCTCATTGCTTCCAGATGACTCTTCTCCACGGCCTGACGTTAGGTGCTCGAGAAGCTCAGCGACGCCTCAGAGTCATCCCGTTTCGTAGATGCGTCTTTTTCGCCCCAAGTTGGACCCGACCCTCTCTCTTTACCGCGACGCAAGCGAGGGACGGCTTTACGAGGTTGCACAGGCTCCACTTCATTGGGTGTAGGTGCTCGCGTCATCCACCGATGCCTTAGCCTCATCGTCATTCCTTCGCTGGAGCGAGGACCACGAGGCTCCTCGTTCCACCGAAGGAATGACGACAATGGATATCATCAAGACCTTGCGAGAACTCGGAGCGCGAGCCTCTGAGCCCAACTCGGATGCATCTTCTGCCTCTGACCCAATAGATCTGCCAGCATCCCAGGCTGCGTCGCGTAGGCCTCACTTCTTCCGACGTCGGTTCTTACGTCACCGACTGAAGCCTTTGAGTTGGTACCGTTCCTTCGGTGGAGGCAGGAGCTTCATGGATCTCGCGCGCAGTAGAACTGTCCTCCGATGTCGCCCGAGATTGGGAAGGACCATCAAGAGCTTGCGAGAACTCGGACTCTGGAGGCTCAGTGGGAACGCGAGCCTCTGAGCCCAATTCGGATGCATCTTGTCTGTCTGACCCCAACAAATCTGCCAGAGTTTCAGGTTGTGACGGCGACATTTTCATTTTGCGGCTCCTCAAGAGTCCCTTCTAGCGTCAATTCCGAGAGTACTGCCAAAGTTGGATGACTGCTGCAAGTTCTTTTGTGTCATGTGCGGAAGTCAACTCTCGAGAAATAGTCCTGGCACCATTCGCATTAAACACGTGGCTCGTAGTGGATCCGAACATGCCTATAAAAGCCGGCGACTTTCATGGGTTTTCTTGGAACGGCAATGCTGCCAGCAACAAGAAACTTCGTGAGCTTTACGATCGACGTGACTCCAGCAATGCAGGCCGAAGCTCTTCAAGCTGTTAGACTCGTAACCGCAAGGTTCGCCCTTGATCACCCACTTGCAGACTTATGCGTCGTTCTCGCCTGCATCCCGGGGATTCGCCTCATCATTGCTGTGCTGTGGCGGGGCTTGATGTCTTGAATTGTTCGCCCCATCGCTCATGTCCGGATGAGATACAAATGTCTGCTGTGGCGAGGGTACTGGGTTGGAGTTAGGGTATCCGCCGTGCGGAGGAATCTCTGGATCCGGAGAAGCATGCGAAGGCTGAGAGGAGCCTGCCACAGCAGCTGTGTATGCAGCTGCTGGGAAAAAGAAAAGGTCCGGAGGCAAGACTGCAGCGATTGGTGATTGGCTCGCCGCTGGTATATTTTCGAACGACGGGAAGTTCCAAGTCATGTGAGACCTAGAGGGTCCCGCGACAGGGTCTGGCAGTGGTACCATGAAAGCATTCTCCTCGTCGGACGATGAAGGTGCAAATGAGTCATGCGCCTGCAAAGACATAAATTGGGCATTCATGCCTATAGGAAGCTCAGCTAGCAGGTCCGGATCAAGATTACTGAAGTCGAGGTCGTTGGGAAGAAGGGGTGGGTTATATTCAGACCTGGACAGAGCAGAAGGACCGAGTGTATAGTATTCCGCAGAAGGACCTCCGGGCTCAGTGGTATCGTATCGAAGCCATTTTGAGGGGCGTCCGACAGTCTCATCTGTAGTGCTGTTGTTCATGCTCATCTCGAAATTGGGCTGTCCGAAGCGCCAAGTAGCAGCTCCAAATGAAGCGGTCTGTTCACTCGGTGGATAGGCAAGTGGGAGGGGTTGGACCATATGTGTGTACCCTGGAGCTGCTGGATTGCAGATTTTGACCGTGCCTATAGCGCTGTGCCCTGAGAACAAGTACAATTCACCATCAGAATCGTGCCAGAAATATAGCATAGTACACGTACTGCGTCATGAACATATCGATGTCAGTGTTGTATGACCGGGCAAAGAGGTTGCTACCATCGCCACGCACGAACCTTAACGCAGATAGAATGAGTTGTTGCATATAGAGGATGCAAGGTATAACTCTATACACGATGAGGAAGGACCGGGAAAGCTGGCACCAACGTCGAGTCCATTGCCACTGATATCTGTGCCACCAATTCGCACCCTGGTACTCCTGCAGAACAGAGAGGATGAGAACCATCGCACATAGAGCGACTCCATGAGGCACGCAGAAATCAAATGACATACGGTCCAGGATGACCATATCTCCCCTCCCATGTTGCTACACTGGCCGGTCTCAAGCGTCAGATATGAGATGGTTATCGATAGTTCGTGAACATACTTCGCGTAGTCCGGTATCGATTAATGACAGCGGTACTAAGACACAGCAATCAGGAAGCTGTAGATCCGAGACTCATGTGAGGTACGCACCTAAGACGAGGGAGGAATTGGGTCGACACCTGTCTCCAGTGGCACTGAGCCACTCGGCCACTCGGAGTGGCCACCGATCAGCAGCTCGAACCTGCAGGCTTTTGAGTGAGCGCCGTGCAGCACATATAAAAGCAGGTGATACGTACGATTGTCCGTCGCCTGAGCTAGGAGAGCGAGTGGCAGGCTGCGATGGTACGTTTTCTTGTGATTCGGCATTCGGTTCAGAAGGAACGTTAGCCTCGGAGGCCACTTCCTCATCTTCTGTGGTCGAAGATGTGAATGGCTGTCGTCTACTGTACGATGGATGAATGGATTGTTCAGTCGCACTGTAGAGGTAGTGACAGATAGCGTACTCGACAATGTAGGCGCCTTGTTGTTTGCTGGAGTTTTGGACTCACGATCGCTTTGAGCCACATTCGCCGGATTTGGTCATGAATAGAGAATTGTACAGGGTAGCGAGACACGAGTTTGCGCCATCGCAAAGAAGTCTAGGACGTGGAGCAATGAGCCCGGAGAGTGTGTGATACAAGAGGCAAAGCGAAAGGAAGATTCATGTCTGCGTAGGGAAATACGTGACAGCTGTAGCAAATAAGAGGGAAAACAGTACCAGTTAGATAGAGGGTGAGCGCGATATCCGTGGGGCGTGCAGTCAACGCGTCAACAGATCGCTGAGCCCAATCCAACGCGATTACACGCAGTGGCCTTGATCAATTGTGTGTGGCCCACCGAACACGGTGTCATGGATTTTCCGGCGCGTTGTGGTATACCAATCAATATTCAGATATGAAGATCCTTGAGCGATGTCTAGCCTCCGGAGCCGATGCCTCTGCGCTCAGCCTGTGGCCGCGGGGCGTAGCACCGCCAACATGCTGAACGGAGCTGCAATAAACGGCGACGGCATACTTTTCGTATTCCCTGACCCTCAAAGCTGCGCCAACAAGACCCATGAGTGAGCTTCGTTGAGAGAGGGAGATCTGCAGAGAACCGTGGGGTCTGTATAGTCAATCGAATGAGTAATGACGCTCACGACGGCAGTTTCAAGCCGATGACTGGATGGTAGAGCGTATGGTTTTTTGAAGCATACAAGATCTTAAGTAACAATGGTTGAACACAAATGGGATTACCTTCGGCGGTTCGCAGAGGACCCAATTTCTATAGACAGGTTGCAATAAGTTGTCACCGGCAGGCATTGGCTGTCTGGAATGTACAAATGGCATCCCCGATCAGAATAGAGGGTGAGCTTACTTATGAGTTGAAAGCCCATGGTCATCGACACAGACCTGAGGTATATGCGGCGTTGCATGAATACTCCTGCCACTGACACAAGCGTATAGCTTCCACACCGAAAAATGTTTCGACGAGCCGGATTGCGGCTGATGAGAAGGAATGGTGATGATATGAATACTCCGATAAGCACTCGACATGCCGTCAATGCCGGAGCTTGATCGCTTTGTCCAGCACGCTCCTGCTGGTGCGAAACGTAGCTATTCGCTACAGATGCTGGCTACAGATGTCAAAACTGAAATTCCCGAAAATATGGCACTTCTTGATAGCGTTTCGTGTCGATAGTCTACTACTCTCCTTCATCAGGAAAACTCAAATCGACTTGTGGCTCGAGAACCTCCTTTTTTGACTTGTTCTCGCTGGTTTTGGCTTGTACAAGCCAATAAGCACACAATAAGAAGCTTGCAATCCGGAGAAAAGTCCAAAACAAGGAGGTCCTGAGACTTTCTCGGACTTACTGTCTTATTTGGTGATGGCAAGCGGATAAAAGGATGATAAGCCAGATTTGAGTTTTCCTGATGTTCGAAGGTTGCGAGATAGATGGCATCGGCAAGGCGCTCTGGACATGTGGCAGCATAATATGACATGAATGGATGCAATTCATGCGAGCTAATGGGAGACAAGTGAGACACTCCAGATGACTGTCATTTGTCGTGGCCGTTGAGCACCAATTCCAGCCACTGCAGCCGATTTACTTGACAGAAACAAGCCATAGGAGATGAGCCCGACAGCTTCCATCATAGCCATTCAGTTTCAGCCAGAACAAAAACCGTCCTGTCAACGTTTCAAAATTTCAGCCCTCGAAATCCGACAGCGAATACGAGCTGATTGCAATGTGACCGGTTGGTTCAGCCAGGTTCAGCCAGGTAGAGCCAGGTGTCCTCGTGCTTTGGGCGCTTGTTCGACACCGTGACCACATGGTTCAACGCGCATAATGTCAAACCGTGGGTTGGGTTGAACTAGGTTGAACTGCAGCTGTATCCAACGACTCGCTTGATTGTGCTCCGCGTCACCATCAGTTACTATTTTCAAAACGATATATCATTTTGCTCTCACTTTGCCTAGCCGATACGATCAGCAGGGCCAGATCAACAGGCTTCATAAGGGCTGAACTTGAATTCTACCGAAAGCCTCTCGCTGCTGGTGTCGGCAAGGTGTCCAAACTTCCCCACGAGCAAGCAAAGTCTCTCTGATAAGAAATAGGCTATCATATTCGAGCCTTACCGCCGGTCTATCATACACAGAAAAATGGTTCCGGCTCTACTGAGTCATATACTTCGACACATGCACCCCGGTCCCCACTGGCTTCTTAGGCCTCATCTCCGCTATAGTGTGTCTCATTATTCACTCGATTATATTGCTGGTTGAAGAACTTTCAGGAGGCAGGAGTTCGCGTTCGGCATCTGCACATCAATTAGCTCCGCGGTGATTGCATCTCGCTTCATCATTGCAATTGAATTGAATGCTGGCTGCCGATAAATGTGACATTGCCACTGTTATTCGCGATCTGTAGCTTCGGCTGATTGCTATCGGGGCTTGCTCTAATGTTCATGATGACACTCCCAATTGATGCTGCCATAACAAGCAAAGTCCTGGATATATGTCGAAGGGAGACGCGGTCGTATGTGCGCTACGCTTGACAGACGGGCGTCATATCGGGGCCCAGGATGGTCGGTCCGTCGCATGAACCTAGCTCCTGCATTCTAGTCCAAGCGCTGTAGCGAATACAACCAAGTCCACGTCAGATGATTGCTTTGGTATGGGAATTGGCATCCCAGTGCTGCGTTTCTAATATGCATGGAGTGTATATATTTGCTACACCAACTCCGGTGATAGGTACGTCCTCATTCTCGTCGTACCAAGTCCCCACCATGGTGTCAAATGCTGTCCTCACTGATACAGCGCCACCACCCTCCGTTGTACTGATCCTTTCGTTGTCTGCGTTTGTGCTGTACTTAACATGGACTGGCTACAAACGCGCCTCCCAGCTTCCGCCTGGGCCAAAGGGTCTACCTTTATTAGGAAACGTTCATCAGCTTCCTCAAGATTACCAAGAGCGCACATTCGGCCATTGGGCTCAGACCTACGGTATTGTATTTTACTATCGGTAACTCTTTGCCTCAATAAAACCTTACGCTCTATAGGTGATATATTCACCGCATGGTTCTTCAGGCGGCCAGCATTGGTTATCAGTTCGGCGGATATCGCACGAGACTTGATGGAGAAGCGAAGTGCGGTCTACTCGGATAGACCGCGTTTCGTATACATGGCCGAGCTGTGCGTGTCAAGTGGTACCCTGCATGTGGAGTTGTTCATGATTTCATGCGACAATTTCAGGATCGGATGGAAGGCTGTTTTTGTGCTGAACACTACGGATCTGAACTGGCGGAAGCATCGGAAGTGGCTGCACAGCTATATCTCAGAGAAGGCAGCTCTCATTAAGTGGCGACAGTCACAGCAAAGGGAGGCAGTGATACTGCTCAGGAATCTCCTCCAGGACCCCACACGTCACGACTCGCATTTTCAAAGGTCAGATCTGATGATATTTGGTTGACATTGACGCAGAGGCGGCACAGATACATGGGGGGTATCATCATGGAGATCGCTTATGGCCACATTGTGACGTCGCCGGATGATAAGTATATTCACCACGCAGACCTTGTCATGCAAGCTGTTGCGAAGCATGGGAGCCCGGGTGCGACACCCGTTGATCTCGTACCTGCATGTGAGCGATTGTTTTTAGCCTGATCGGCTGCAGCAAGCACTCACGTTAGTCGATAGTGAAATACCTTCCAACATGGTTCCCGGGGGCTGGATTCAAACGGACCGCACTAGCTGCGCACGAGGCCCTCCGCAAAATGCTTGATGAACCATTTGAGATGGTAGAGAATGCCATGGTACGGAAATGCAACTCCCAGCTGCTGAGTCGTGAAGTTGACTTTTATTGATACCCAGGCGTCCGGTGTGGAATCCAAATCATTCACCGCGTCCATCATAGAAGAGGTTGCCAGACAGGGCCCGCTCGCTGACGATGACAAGGAGGCTATCAAGGAGGTTGCCGCCATGCTACACGGAGGCAAGTCCAACTTACTGCACTCATCCCTCGAGCTGTTTACTGATAATTATTCCACAGCTGGTACTGATACGGTACGGTGACTCAGCATCAGTTGGACTAGCTCTGAGATTTTCTAACCGCAAATAGACCGGTGCAACGCTGGATACATTCCTTTTAGCGATGGTCTTGTTTCCAGATGTCCACAAGAAGGCTCAGGAAGAAATTGATCTCGTCATCGGCAATGACCGTCTCCCGAATTTCAACGACCGCAGCTCGTTGCCATATCTGGAAGCCGTAGTGAAAGAGACCTACCGGTACGTAACACTCCCACCATAATACCGTCGATAACCAGGCTTATTTTATATCCTCAGCTGGCACACTGTTGGTCCGCTGGGTACGTTTGATGGTCTGCTCCATCTAGTCCGCGTTACCTCACTCCGCACCGTATCGCAAGGTGTGCCTCATCAGGCGATATCCGACGGCGAATATCGGGGATACCACATTGCCAAAGGGACAACCATCATTCCGAATGTGTGGTAAGTCACGGTCAGAAGCGTCGGTAGAACTAATGCATCATGGTCTTCCAGGGCGATGACCCAGGATCCACGAGACTATCCAGAACCACAAATATTTCGCCCCGAGCGGTTCCTCGCTAAGAATAGTAAGACCAACGCACGAGATCCCCGCGAGTATTCCTTCGGCTTTGGTCGACGGTCAGTTTACGGTTTCGTTGTCTGACCTCAGGCAGTGATAACTGACGTCCCACCAGCATCTGTCCAGGAAAGGACCTAGCAGACTCGAGCGTCTGGCTGGCAATTGCGTACATCGCCGCCGCGCTGGATATCTCCAAGGCGCGAGACGACGCAGGGAGGGAGATCACCCCTCCAGCAGCGTTTAACTCTGGATTCATCAGGTGCGACATCTACTTAGATCCCGCGAAGTTGCCGATGCTTACCAGATGGGGGTAGTCACCCGGTACATTTCCCGTGCGAGATCAGGCCGCGATCCGGGGAGGCGTCCAGTCTGATGGCCGAGCACAGCGAAAGAGATGGCACTTGAGTATTTGAATTGGTTGTGGCAGTGACCACGGTACCCGTAAATTACATACAGCGCAAAAATGATGCAGATAAGAATTCATGAAGAGTATTAGTTGGTCTGATTCCCACTACCGACCTGCGCGCCGGTCAGCAGAGGGCCTTCGTGAATCGCCCAATCAGCATCAGCGATATACAGACCTTAGCACGTTCCAGTAACCTCATCCCGGATTAGACCGCTATAGATACATCTAACAGCACGATACATACACAATTATACAATATCACGCCTAGTAACCACCCATATCCTCGGAGGCCCTGTGGGATGCCATCTGCCGCCGTTGTGTATCCTCCAGCTTAGGGCAATTCGATATACCGTGACCAAGACCTGCAACGCAGGATGAGCGGTGCGAGACAGGAAATCGAGAAACAATGGCGTACCGCCGCAAACGGGACAGCCCTTGAGCGATCCGCCCTGTGCCGCACGCGGGTCTTCGATGCTCTGCAAGAACGGCGGCACCCTAGCAACGAGCACTCTGTCAGGATCCCCCGCCATGACCTAAGAAACAACAATACGTACTTCTGCCCCGCCTCCATCAACAGATACTTAAGATCGAGCAGCGTCTGTTCAGGCGTGTTCATATTTACGAAAGTCGTTGCAATGCCGGTCTTCCCGCTACGGCCCGTACGCCCGATCTGATGCACGTAATCCTCGATCTCTTTGGGCATGGAGAAGATGATGACGTGCTGGATGTCGTTGAAGTCGAGCCCCTTGGACGCGACGCCGGAGGCGACCATCACGTCCTTGGCGCCGGACTTGAATGACTTGATCGCGTACTGACGCTCTTCTTGCGCTGCGTGTGTTGTCAGATCATGAACGCAAAGGGCGGGTATAGATACGTACACTTCGAACCGTGGATCGAAACTGCTTCGACGCCCTTGAGCAGAAGGTACTCCTGGATATCTAGGATTCTGTCAGCTTTGTGTTCCAACAAGTCAATGTCGTCACTCACCATCTACCTCGTTCTTGTTCTCGCTGAATATGATCACCGGTGGCGGTGTTTTTTGCAGACACTCCAAGAGATACACCATCTTTGCCTCTTGTTTCACGTACTCGACCACCTGCAGCACGTCCAAGTTTGCTGCTCCCGCTCGCCCGACGTTGACCAAAACGGGTTTGACGAGGGACTGCTGCGCGAAGTCCTGGATCTTCCTGGGCATGGTGGCAGAGAAGAGGAGAGTTTGCCGTTGGCGCTACACGGCTATAAGCCCACAGTCTTCGGCTCATATATACGTGAAGGAAACCTACCTTAAAGTAGCTCATAATGTTTCGCACATCGTCCTCGAAGCCCAGATCGATCATCCGATCCGCTTCGTCCATGCACAGATATCTGCAGTTATCAAACGTAAACCGTTTCTTCTCCAGCATGTCGATCAGCCGGCCCGGCGTCGCCACGACGATGTGCAAGCCTTTATTCAGCACATGGCTTTGCTCGCTCATCGAAATACCGCCGATGCACAATACCACGTTCAGCTGTGGATATTTCCCGCTCGGGTCTCGTGCGAGCGCACCCGTCCAGATGAGGACGTTCTCGTATGTTTGTGTGGCGAGCTCGCGGGATGGACAGAGGATCACCCCGACGGGGCCTTCGCCACGAATGAAGGGCAACTTGCATTCCTCCTCGACGGCTAACATGATTAGTGGGAGACAGAAAGCGAGGGTCTTGCCTGACCCAGTGAAAGCAATACCAATCATGTCGCGGCCTGCAAATCTGCATGGCACCGTGAGTTGGAATGTACCTAAAGTTTACCAAGGGCAGACATACGCTGTTGGCATTCCTTGAAGCTGGATAGGCGTTGGTATGGTAATCCGCTTTGATTTAAGGAACTTGACCAGTGTCTCCGGAACTTTCATGTCCTGCAAAGCAGGGCATGAGGCAAAGAGAAAATCAAGAAAGCATGCACTCACGGTAAAGTTATCGATTGGTGGTGGGATGTCCTCGCCATCGACGAGGATATGGTACTTCTCACGAAGGCGTCGGTTGTCTTCCTCGCTGCGTTCCCGTATATACTTCGGTGGTCGCCATCTGCGATGCCGATCAGCGCTTAAACAGGCAATCTAAAGATGTGATATACACGTACGATGTCTTGAGCGGTTCGGTGTATTGCACGCCCTTCGCCAGCTCCAGATCTGAGGCGAGCTTCTTGCGACTTGCGATAGCAGCAAGGATCTCTGCGTCCGCCTCCTCAGTCTTCTCAGCCTCGGTCTTCTTCGCATCTAAAAAGGGTTTTGAGTGCTTACATCGAATCAGGGAGAAGCCCGAAACACCCTCAGCAGCCTTCTTCTCATGAACCTCCTGCGCCTCCATTAGTAATGTTCGTTCCTTTCGCGCCTTCTCCCGCCTTCGCTCCTCCTCGCGTTCCTCGTCTTCGCGCTCATCCTGCTCTTCCTGTTGCAATTTAGCTTTGCCTTTGTCTGTGCTCCACGACGTCAATTTCGCGAGCTTCGCTTGTCGGCGCTGGACAACAGGTATGTATGGCTCGTATAAATCGTTCTCCTCATCGAGATTGTACAACGGTGGAGATGGAGAACGTTGAGTCCTTCTACGCTTTGGAACAGATTCCTCAGACATGTTGATTTGGCGGAGACAACTTCGTCAGGCTAGTGGGGATGAAGGGATCTAGAGAAATATCGTGAAGTCAGATTAGTGCCGTGGGAACACCTTGATCGATTAATCACGTGACTCAGCCATCAGAAAGAAAGGCTGATGATTGGTGGCCACCGACTCAGACGCGTGCGTTCGTCATAAAACGTTAGCTTCTTTTCAACGCGTTTTTTTTTCTGAAGACATGTTAACAACATTGCACATCTGGAACAAAAGTTATTATACCTGAGTAATTGTTGAGCCTGAAGTGAAACAGAAACAAAGCAAGCGAGTGCTAATTACCCTGTTCTTCAGGAAGGAGACGCACAGAGTGGATTGCAGCACTACAACCAATTTTGTAAAAAGAATTTCACCATCTTGGGTCTCAAAAATGTATCTGACTTGATGTACTAACCTCACCACTGGTGTCTTGAGCTTATTGGATTCTGACCGTGATGCTTAGACTAAAACTGGGCTTGCTGGGTCCCTAGGGGTAAACGTTCGGACATTGGACTGGAAATGAATGTCGCAAAGGGCTTTGTTTCTGGCCAGATTGCTACAAACGGTCGGTGTCAAGGGGTCCTAACCTATGACAGAGGACCTGCAACACCCTTCATACAACGTAAGCGATTGACGTGCGGGCCGGGACATCCGTCTTCAACATTGACCCACGATCTCCGAACGCGGACGCTGTCCCACTTCGCCATGGTTGTCGCTTTCGATACTCCCGCATTCATTCTCTTGTTCTCGCAACCACGACAGCATCGACAGGCCTGTCGTTAGAGAGCACAGAAATGTCCGAGATTCAGTTTGACCCAACAACCCATCCTCATCGCCGTCGTACGTACTCACAGACTCTCCCTTCGGTCTGACTGATATCGATGACATCTCAGTCAACCCTCTTACGGGAGAGTGTGTTCTCGTCTCTCCGCACCGCATGAAGCGGCCTTGGCTAGGCCAGACAGAGCCTCCGCAGCCGTCTACTCTTCCAGAATACGACCCGAAATGCTACCTCTGCCCAGGGAACGAACGGGCAGGTGGGCAACGCAACGCCGTCTACGAGCACACCATGGTCTTTGAGAACGACTTTGCTGCCATTCTTCCGCCTCCTGCGCCTGCGGCACCGCCGGCGCCCCACCCATTGCTCACAACGGAACCGGTACAGGGCGGCTGCGACGTGCTCATCTTCCATCCGCGGCATGATCTGACCCTCGCGCGGCTGCCTATCACGGACATTGAGCGGATCATTGAGGAATGGTGCCAGATCTACACCAAGAGAGGCTCGGAAGAGGGCATAAAGTATGTACAGATTTTCGAGGTGCGTGCAAAGCCATTGTCGATGTATGCGAGGAGTTCTGACAACATGAGTGACAGAACAAAGGGGCGATGATGGGCTGCTCGAACCCGCATCCGCACGGACAGGTATGGTCCCTCTCAGCGGTGCCGTCCCTGCCTGCAACGGAGTTGTTCAATCTTAGACGCTACGCGGCCTCTGACGTTCCGCCATCGAGTGCACCTCGAGGCGAGGACGGCCGCCCGTGCATGCTTTGCGAGTACGCACACTTTGAAATTGGCGTCGAGCACGAAGCGGGCAGAGTGGTCATCAAGAACGAGCACTGGATCGCTCTGGTGCCTTGGTGGGCCGTTTGGCCTTTCGAGGTTCTCTGTAAGCCAGATATTTCAGCCTACTGCTGTAGATAACTCCGATTGACAGATGTCCCAGTGCTTCCTTATCACCGCCACATCCCGTCTATCCTCGAATTAAACCCGTCGGAGAAGACTGCCTTTGCAGATGTTCTGTCAAGGCTTACAAAGCGCTACGACAACCTCTTCTCGTGCTCGTTCGCGTACTCCATGGGCATCCACCAGCGTCCTGTGCCTCGCCAAGCCGACAGGTCCTCGGAGGACGACGTCGCACACCTGCACCTGCACTTCGCTCCGCCGCTTCTCCGGAGCGCGAGCGTACGCAAGTTCCTCGTCGGGTGAGTGCAGGGTGAGACGGTTACGGTAGGAGCTGATGTGATTGATCGCGATCGGATAGATTCGAGTTGATGGCTGAGCCACAACGCGACCTCACGCCTGAACAGGCTGCGCATCGGCTGAGAGGATGCTCGGAGATGCACTATCTCGACGCTGCCAGTCAAGCCTCGCTCGATGCAATGCATAGCTGATCGGGTGATCCATGGAACGGATACTAAGTAATTTTATGCATCACCTCATGTGTATTCAAGCTAGAGAGGGATATCTTTTGAGCTGCTCTCCGGGTAGTCTTGCCAAGCAGGCAGACATCATTGGCAGGACAACATTCTTGATATTGACGATGTCAAGTGGTAAAGAGCTCGCTGATTCGGCATGTCTTTGCATCATCCCACACACCCATACTCATCTGAATCGTGGGCTTGTTCGCCTTCTCTCAGCATGGCTTGATGTCATACACGCAGGATAGCTGCTTTTCCATCAGCCATATCGAACCATCCCGTCTCTCCTGGTGAAATCTGGCAAGAGAACCACCTGCGAGGTGGCCTTCTGCCCTTTGCTGTTCTGAGCCCCGCACGTGGCTAGTATGGTGAGCATGTTCTACGGGATGTCCGCTCAGGCAGATACCGCATTGCATCCCTCATCATCATCAGCGTGAAGGGGGAGGACAAGCACTGCAGGTACTGTTGTTCACGCGGACGGTGCAGATCGATCAGGTCGTTCTTGAGCTGTGCCTTGTCTGCAAACTACACGTAAGGGAGCACTTTGTGCGGAAATTCTTTGCGATGCGAGGAAGGTTAGATATGTTTTGCTGACTGCAGTGTTACCCAAAGGAAGCACGGCGTTGAAGCTAGAGATAGAAAATGATGAGAAGAGTTCGTCCCATCGGCGGGGATGGGATCGTTGAAATCCAACGAGTCTCATTAATTGTGGCCTTATCAGTATGCCAGCTGTGTCCAAGGCTGCATGTTCAATGAGCAATATGGCCCCGAAGCCGATGAACGACATCAACATAAGAGCAACGATGGAGTTCATCATGATGATTGTTATATGTCGGTCGGAGCGGTACACAGCGACATCGTTAAGATGGGCATGGACGGACGGATACATCGTACAAAATATTGATATTCCAATATTCTTATAGATTCGGTACGCTAGAACGAACATGTTGCAAATGAGCATTCAATATTTCAGGCTTCATGCATCATGGCGAACAGAGGCGCACTATGCGCGAGCATTCAAAGCATTATCTGAGCATCGCATTAACGTTGTTTCAGGCGCATGTCGGTTTCCCCGACCCGTCGATCAGGTCGAGTACTTATCCCGAGGGCCACGGAAAGGCCTGCGCCAGGACCGAGCTCGACAAGTGTGAGCAACGGCCCTTCCCTCGAGCCCCCCTCCCATCCGCTCCCCGCTCCCCCCTATCCTGTTGACAATTAGAACGCAGCATCACAAAGAAATAAGAATGAAATTAAGAAAAATGAAGAAAATAAAAAAAGAACAACGGACCTATCGCGGTCCCGCGGATGTTGAACCCACGACATGCGAGAAGAGACACCCGGCTAGCGAGCCCTCCCCTCCAGACGACGGCGACCAGCGCACGCCGCCTACCTCAAGCGCGTCGACAGCGAGGGGAGTCCCGTTCTTGGTCACCTCAACCCAAGGTGGAGCACTGTAAAAGGATGGTCAGCTGCGGTGACGATCTCATAGAACACCGCAGACATGAAGCGATTTGCGCATGTGGCAAATGCTTAGCAAATGTCGACAGGTTTTTTGCCTTTGTGATCTCAATTTGCTACGGTTCCTTCTAAGGCTCCAACTATTTATACTATTTACACTCCTGAGGTGTAAATAAATAGTATATAGTAAACAGTTGGTATATATGTAGTATAAACAGTTTATATAAAGTTTATATAGTTTTTTTGTCCCATCTCTTAGTGGAGTTCTACTCACCTGTGAGCAGCCTCTGTGATTGTTGGGATCCTTAAGGAGCTGGGTGCATCAACACACACATGATAGTGAGCAGAAAACAAGCATTCAACTTCAACACTTGCACCACGAATGACAAGAAAATCTCATGTCATACAAAAAATAACAAGAAACTCATGTTCATGAGTCTATATGATGATCAACTGTCAGTGGTGGCTTCTATCAAACACTATGACTTTCAATTGGCTCACTGTTGCACTGTCAAATCTATCAATCGTGCACTCAATAGCCTCATGTCATCATAAAACTATTTATACTATATATAAACATCTATTTACTATATACAGCCCAACCTGTAAATAAACAGATATAGTAAGCAGTTAAAACTATTTAACATAGTATATAGATAGAAATGTTGGAGCCTTAGTTCCTTCCCACATTCCGTATTAAGTATTTGCATATAATATGTTGGAGGCAGAAATTTAATATCATATATTTAAGAAATGACACCATTTTCAAACTCACCAAATACATTTAGAAT